TGTTACTGGGGGACGACTGCCTCAAACTCCCCAGTAACGTCCTTCACGAACCTCCTCCACAGAGGCCGATCTTGAAACAGCTGGTGCCAGTCATCTGAACGTCTAATCAGTTCCGCATCCTTCCGTACCAAGTTTTGTCGATCTCTTCTCTAGCCCGTGTCGCGCCCCTTAAGCACTCTTCATCCGGCCAAACATAATCTCCTTGGGCATGCGATGGCTGGGCATGCAATGGCTGGGCATGCGGGCTACATGACCTAATCGACGCAGCCTCGCTTGCCAGAGGAGCTTACCGATGGGACTGTGTCCAGATCTTTCAAGGACCTGAGGCCCTCACACAATCCAGTCTGGTTAAGCCCAGGATAGACCCTAGGCAGGCCATGCCTGAATGTTTCTAACCAGCAAATGCGTACACACGCATTCCCACACATGGTCGCGAAGAGATAAATATCCCCTAAGTCCCCCTGTTATTACAGATGACGTGGCAGGGTAAGTGATGCGAGTGTGCACACCGTCTGTGGGGAACGGTGGCGTGACAACTGCGGGACTACAACATGCAAATCGGGTTTGTGCAGTGCCTGTGCTGTCAGTCACGAGCAGAGGAGGAGGGGGAGGAGCGTGAACCTGCATGGATGTATGTGGAGCTTCTTTCGCACCGTACGTAGCCAGCCGTGCTACGTACGGTGCGATCGGAGCAGGGAGCCGACAGCACGGGCTGCTGTTCGGGCAAGGGAGCTCCAGACTGATGTTTGTCGTGGCCGGGACTTGAACTCAGGTGGCCGGGTTGATCGTGGACGATGTTCACCACTGCGACAAATCTCCCCCCAATGTGCAAATACAGATGAGCAATAACGCCCCTAATCTCATAATAGCACACTTTCACAGGTTGACACATGCAAAGATAAAGACAAAGGTACCCCGGTATAGCCTTAACATACTGTTGGGGCAAGTGCTGTTAGCGAGTAGCACCTGTGAAGCTAGGCACGTCGCGATCCAGGGCGATGTAGCCAGCGCCACACCCAGCTGATCTAGGGGAGTCCCAGAACAAGTTTCGACAAAACTTCCCACTGACGTTCCCCATGATCAGGAATCAAACACAAGGTTGACCGAGTTCATGGATTGGTGTGCTAACCAATGCGCCACCACTAACCACAGATGTACGCACAACGACAACCGCCGTTCCCCCATTAAGTGGGGGGTGAATTCACCACAGCGCTTGTGCCAGGCTGGGTGCACTGAGGCCGCGTGAAGAGTCGAGGAGGTCACGGAACCAGACCCAGCAGGTGCCATGGATTGACTGAGATGACTGGCATACACACACGGCTGCCCAGGTGTGAAGAGGCAGAGCGTCATATCGATATCACATTCTCACACACTCTTTCTCTCCCTGTAATTTCAAAGCAAAGATTGGGGGCGAGTCGTATAATCTAATATCACATAAGTAATTAGGAGTGTCGTTGTGGGGAATACAGGCGGCATATTAGACACGCAGACGATTTATCTTACTTCCAATATCTCTCCGTGCAGATTTTGTTGTTTATGTTTTTACACATCCCATCAGTCGCATGGCCTTCTGGGAGTGAATAATGTGAGCAGACGAAGCAGAACTCAGTCACGCTCGCTTGAACCAATTCTGGTGAACTGCCAGATGTTTAGAAACAATGACTCACTCTTTCTGTTAGATACGGGTCCTAGTTAGACGTAACATTATACGATACACAACACAGAATAATCATAGCGTCGGTGTGAAGTCAATTATTAACACGATTAATAAGCAAACAACATTTCGTGTCATCCAATCGGCGTGCATGAAACCAGATTCACACAACTTTGTTGATGCCGGGCACACGTTTCTGGATGCCTCTTACTTTCCACAGCGTCTTTAAATCCAGGTGATATGCGGCACGGTCAGCCACCACCCCTTTGTAAAGGTGCTACTACACCTGCAAGCGGTGATTGATAGATCAAGGATGATGATGTTCTTGATGAAGAATAATCCCGCAGCTCACGTCTCAGAAATGCCACCCAGTGGCAGCGCGAGGGATGAGCAAGCAAGACACTTCGTGGCACCAAATAGCTCGGGGGGGGGGGGGGGGGGTGCTGGCTTCATGGCAACAATAGGGCTACCCCTAAACACAGACTGCAATTCAAATCCTGCTCAACACAACGAGACACTAAAACATAACCAGGCCATTAAATTTCGATTTAAAGCTTTCGTGACTGCAGGGATTCATATTCTTGGTTCTGTCGGTAAAGTCACTTACCGAAAAAAACAAGAATATGACCAGGCCAATGCATCAATCTCTTCTCTCTCATCCCACAGGATGACACTATTTTGTCGGCATCTTTCTCATCTCACTACCGCATCTCGATCCAGGGCTTCATTAATCGCTCGATATCTCTAGAAACGCTGCTACGAGGCTGGCTAGCAGTAGGGATTATCGGCGTAAGGCACTACCACTAGAATACGCGGTACCGCCTATCCATAATGATACTAACCCGAAGTCGTCGCACCCGATATTCCTGTCACGTGATGAGTAGATTTAGGACACACATCAAGCGAGACGGATGTGGCACGCCAAGAGGAGCGTTCGGAACCTGACACCGTGTCCCTCTCGTCGACATACCTTCTCGAGTCATCTCGCTCGCTTTATTTTCATGAAGTGTAAAACCCACACCACCCCCCACTCAGCCGCCCCCACTCCCACCCCCACACACCCCCTCCCTTTCAATTGGGGCTAAAATTGTATTTCTGCCAAGGGCCCTCCAAGAGGGGCAGGCAGAGCACCGCCACCCTTGGTGAAGGGGACAGGCGGGAGGAGGAACCCAGCAGCGAGACAACAACAACAAACCCACCGTGCCACTGGGCGAGAATCGCTGCGGGGAATTATCTCGCTTGGCCGCGGATCGGCGTCTGCGCGAACGTGGAGCCGCCGCCGCCGCTCCACTCCACTCCCCCATCTCTCTCTATCTCCCTCTCTCTGCGTGTCAGCTGGAGGGGAACTAAACCGGCTCGTCCATCCGTCGTGGTTTCACGGACAAACAATGGCCCTCGCGCCCGTGCGAACTGGCAGTCGTTAGACAAAGACGACCCCCCCCCCCCCCCCACTGCAGTACAGCCTTGACAGACTGATGGGGCAAGTGCTGCTGGCGAGAAGCACCTATGAAGGCCGGCACGGCATAGAAGGGGGGTGGGTGGCCAGCACCACGTCCGAGTAGTTGGCTTGTGTAGATTTCCACACGATAAGCCACTTCGTTGATTAATCATTTGTGGCCAGGTCGTTTCTGAAAAAGAGCTTCATAGCTCAGTGGGCCTTAACTGGTAAAATAAAAAAAATACTTTAGATTTTTTAGATCACCTTTGTTTCAACAAGTGGCGACGTTTACAAACCGCACCAAGTACTCATTTGAAGCTAAGTCGACCTAGAATAGGCCCAACACCGGTTCAGATGATCGTCACTTGTGTTGGTGGCCGTGAGCGAGAATCGAACTCGGGTGGCCGGGTTCCTAGCGCAGCGCGGATTCGCCGCTGCGCTCCCGCATCCACTCCGCAGAGTCATTACACGCACGCACGGACACGCCTGTGCGCTGGGATTTAGATATATTTTTGGCTGCAAAGAACAGATTGTGTGTTCTTGGTGTTGGTGTGTGCCTGCGTGACACATGGGAGGCTTAAGGTGCCGGTAGATATTGTCCTACGTCGCGGGTGTCCGTAGCGGTGAAAGTGCAGCCCCTGCAAGTGCTCGCTCTGCTGCTTGGCGGTGAAGGGACCTCCGCTCTCGAGGGGAGATCGAGAGAGGCCACTTCTAGGGCAGGGATTCCCAGCCGTTCTGGCCTCCCGGGCCACTGTTCACCCCTCAACGTGGAGAACCGTGCGGTCAAACAAAAACACACCGTCTGGTGTTGCGTGCCAAAAATCGTCCTGGCATCAGAACCACGGACGACTCCCCACGGCCTCGCGGGACACGGGACGTGAACCACTGCTCTCAGAGAGAACGCCGGCCTTCTCTTAATCCGAGAAACTCGACACTCGCCTCGTTCACGTGGCCTCTACTCCCCGGCTAGTTCTGGTCGTGTACCCTGCAGCTTATGTCTATTTCCTGGCTTTCCATACATAGCGGCGCATTGCGATGTACGGATGAAATGCGCCAAATTAGCAATCTAAATTATCATTACATTCGTCAATAACGCCGTGGCCCTGAAACGATAATGCATTTAATAGGCGACGTTTCGTGTGATGGCCCTTACTCACACACCACGTGGAGAGTTCGTGTATCGTGAAGAAGGGCGAGGTGCTTTTTAAGTTGAAATGTACTTGACAACGAAAGGCAAAATGCCGGTGACCCAGCTCACCCTGGCAAATGAGACCCCAGGCTAACCCTCGCCTCCCCCCCTGAGTTCTGACCCAGATGAACAACAGCTAGATGTACAACTTTAAACGTGCAAGGGTTACCTATTTTCATGCTTGCGATATGACGGATCAGAGACAACCCAACACTGACGCGGAACGCGAAGACAATCGTTCACGGATGAACGGTGCGCAAAGAAGGCACGGGAAGAGGTGCACGCTGGGAATTGCACCGAGGGACAAAGAGGAACAGGCGGTGAGGCGGAGGGCGAATTTGAACGAGAGACAATCGCGCGGTGCTTGGATTCGGGACAGGCCACCGGCCCTCGCAGGGGACATTCACGGCGACCAAGCCTGACGGCTGAGAGGCAGAAACCGAAGAAGCTTCGTGGAGCGAAACGTCGGACATTAGGCTGGAAGATGTGGCGCAATCCGGGGGTACATATGCCAATTTTTGGGGGTTCAGCCGTGGCGGGAACTCACCAATGTGACTGCGTGCGCGCGCGAGTAATGACTGCGAGATCCCACGCCGCAACAGGTCCCAATTTAAGGCCGCGAGCGGGAATCGGATTCGGGTCGCCGGGGGTTGCTAGCGCGGCGCGCTAACTAATGCGCCACCGCTCCCCGCCATGACCTCGTGCTCTCTCACACACAGCTCAGTCGGAGCACACGGAGAAGGAGTTGGAGGACACGGGCGGCGGCACCGGCAGCTGGGCGCTGGCGAGCAGGACCGGCGGCGGCGAGTCGCAGGCCGTGGCGCCGTGGGCCGGGCTGCAGGTGGTGCACCTCACAGAGGAGCTCTGCCAGCGGCTCGAGCGGCTGGGCAGCCAGGAGGAGCGCGAGGGCCTCCGCAGGCAGCTGCCCCCGGGCACCGTGAGGGCGCTGCTCGGCTGGCTGCACGCGAGCACGGTGCGGCAAGCGCGGGTACACGGCGCGGGTACACGCACTCATCCACGTGCACACGGCACCGTTACACGGCGCGGGTACACGGCACGCATCCACGTGCACGCGGCACGGGTACACGCACGTAGGGGAACACAAAGACAAAGATCGCTCGTTTTCAAATTTAAAACTCATTTCTTTAAAACTGCTTTTGGTGTTGTAGTTTGTTGTCCTTAACCCCGTACCTCCGATTATCACGGTCGACTACGTACGATACAGAAGAAGTGCAACATATGTACATGGAGACTGTGGGGGAAAGTGCTGTTAGCGATCACCTATTAGGGTCTGTACGGTGCTGCATGAGGAGGTTGTGTTGCCAGCATCATTCCCAACCGCCTTTGTCTTCACCTGCGCCGATGTTTTCATATCGTACCAGGTACTTATTTGGAAGGCTGAGTCGACCTAGGGGAGGCCCAGAACCGGTTCAGATAATCGTCACTGGGTGTTGGCCGTCAGCGGGAATCGAACCCGGGTCGCCGGGTTCATAGCGCAGCGCGCTAACCGCTACGCTAGCAGTCCCCGTGCGTACAGACACACGCAGACGGTGAGACACACGCAGACACACGAGCGTGCACACACTCTCATATATAGTGTCCATATCGCCTCGCAATCCAGGGTGTGATTGTGTCAGAATCACAGGGCCTCAAAGAGACTTTAGAGCTCAACCACACGAAGAGAACAAACGCGACTCATCATATCACCGGGGTGGCTTTGCGCTGATCCACAGGTTCACACAAAGGCAAAGGTTCCCCATGTAGTCGCCACACACTGTCGGGACAGGTGCTGTGAGCGAAGGCTGACACGGCACGCGAGTGGGTGCTGTGGTCAGGACCACCCTGCTCACCTTCCTCCATCGCCCCAATGCTGATGTTTGCACACCGCAGCAGGTACTCATTTTTATGCCGAGTCGATCTAGGGAGATGCCCAGGACGGATTCCATTGCTCATCACGGATGTTGGCCGTGGGGGGGGGGGGGGGAGGATCGAACTCGGTTCGCCGTGTTCGTAGCGCGGTGCGTTATTTGCTACACGAGCACACGACCACCCACGCGGACCACAGACAGTCACAGGAGCCAAGCAAGATCGACTGCAGGTCTTTTATTTTGAGCCGGGTCTGCCCGGGTCAGCGACCACCCCGGCACACCACATCATGTATGCCCCCTAATACTGACTAAATATCAAAACTTAATAAAGTTGGTTTAACACGTAGGCTTTCGCGACCAATATAATCCATAATAGAGGTTTTTTTGTGGTTCGATCGCGTAAATATATATGTGTCGTTAAAACCCGCCACCACCCGACACAGCCAACGAGTAAGGGTTGTCACGTAAACAGAACGTGGCCAATTCGTCACTAGTACAACACACCGGTGTGTTGGAGAGCCAAGCCACAACATTTACAATCTAAGCACGACGTTTCGCCAGTAATTACAACCAGCTTCATCAGGCGACAGCCAGATTTTATCAAAGTTGGCAGACTAATGCTCCGGCTCGCTCGAGTTCTCGCCCTGGTTAAGCAACGCAAACGTGGGTAGTCTCAACACCGGTGAGAATGGGTCCAATTCACTCATGTTGACCGGTCTGGATCGTTCTAACTCACTTCTTTCTCACCGCTTATTGAGTCGAGTTGCTTTTCCTTTCCACCGCACCTCCGCTTATCACGGTTGGCTACGCACGGTGCGAAATAAGTTCAACATACACACTTAGAATGTGCATACAACCTGACGTCTCTCTCTCCCCCTGAGTCTAAAACCAGTCGCTTCCTCCTCTCCCTCTGCCCATGTCTCGATCTATTCATGTCTCCCTATCTTCCTCTCTACACGCTCTCTCTCTCTCCAGCCCTCCTTTACTCCGTCTCTCTCCCTCTCTCCATCCCTCTCGCTCACTCTCTTTTTTTACGATCAGAGGAAGCAAGAAGATGTTCGGTGTAGTCGGCACTTTGCTTCGTTCATCATTTCGTTTTTTTTTCAATGCTTTGCTTTATATGCCCCCCCCCCCTTTTTTTGAACGAAAGATTTCACGCTCTGCTCTCCTCCTACTTACCCATTACCTCTCTCTCTCTCTCTACCCCCTCTCTCTACCCCCCCCCCACCCTCTCTCTCACCCCTCTCTCTACCCCCCCCACCCTCTCTCTCACCCCTCTCTCTACCCCCCATCTCTCTACCCCCTCTCTCCCTAATCTATTTTTTAAATTGTCGATCTCTCGCACTCACCCCATCTCTCTCCCTCTCTCCACGTCTCACTCTCCCCACTCTCAATTGAGCTTCTCCATTCGACACCACAGCCCATATCGCAGGATTATCTTTAGTAAGTACATTTACAAATCCATTAATTACAACGTTATTGTAACAGCGGGGGAGTCATTGCTGTTCGTTGTCTAGCATGTGTATAAATATATTATACATGCCTACATGACATATAGTTAAATATGCAATGCACTTTTATACACATAGATGTGTGTATATGCAACACACAAACCGGTTCGTCAGCGAGGGTGACGCAACGTTGAGTGTGACGTCGTTGACAGCCCAATCGGCAGCGTGGTTCATCAGCTGCGTGGGCAGCGGGGAAAGGCGTCGAAGGGGATAAAATAGAAAAGTCGCTTTTAATTGCGGCGCTGGATGCTGCTAAATGCAGCTCGCCACCGCGTCCCATAACAAAACTTATAATGATCATCATCATTATTAGTAGTAGTAGTTTTGCAACAGGGAAGGTGGCTAAGGCAGCACAGCGATTAAATACCAACGGGGAAATCACCGCCTGGACCATGACGGGAAGCGTCCGGATGAGAGCGCCGCGTCGCTGGGGGCCCTGCTGAGAAAATATAGAGCCCCCCCTCCTCCTCCCCCCCCCCCCCTGAATTATAACAACGTTAAGTAGGTGTCTCATGTCCAAATAATGTTACTCTGGGTGTGTGCTTGCCCATATAAGGCATCGATACAATTCTATGTTTGAAGCTTTCGTGACTGCAAGGATTCATACTCTTAGGTTTTTTCGGTAAAGTCACGTAGGTAAAAATAAAAAATAATAAAAAATAATACAAATATAATAGAAATAATGATAAAAATAAAATAACAAATCACAAATATTATTTGTTTTTATTATTTGTATTACTTATTTTTACCTACGTGACTTTACCGAAAAAACCAAGAAGATGAATCCCTGCAGTCACGAAAGCTTTAAATCGAAAAGTATCGATACAATTCACGTTTCACGCTCGACTCCATGCTCGACTCCACGCTCGAACGCAAAACAACCGTGACTGTGACCTCTCCCTTTCACGTTGTTATAAAAGGGCTATTGTCCGAAACGTTGCCTGTTATAGAATTGTTTTTTTCCTCACAAGGCCACGCGGCGTTGTCCACGTTCGTGCTTAGGGGAGGCCGCAGGCTGTGGTCCACGTGCGCGGTCTCGCCCCCCATCCCCGCTCCGTGCGAGCGCGCTCCGAGTGGAGGATTGCCCCACGTCTCTCACGCGGCACGACGGTGACACGCGACGCCGTCTCTGAGTTGGGCGCGCAGCGAGAGCGAGCGGTGCAAATGCCGCTCGGCAGCATTCCTCCAGCCCCACGTGGCGTCGCCTGTAACCGTGTGGCCATATCCTCAACATTCTTTTACAAGGTTATTTTTGTCTCATTCGCCAGCAGGTCTGCCAACTTACCTCCTGTAGAGCCTCCCTAGCGCAACCTTAGATCAAACAGCAATGCCGGTACCAGATTCCGGTGCGAATCGAATTCCTGCCATCCCAACACAGATGCCAATTACCGGACTGCCCGGGTCAAACCCAAACAGCTGTCAGCCACAGCGGCAGCTGCAGCAGGTTACACGAGTAGCATCATTGCTTAAGTGACTTGCCCACAGAGGAGAAGAATGCGTTGAGTGTATGTGTAGGCAGAAGCGATTTGCGGCATGTCTCTTCATGTGGCGAGTCAACAAAAGGCAATTAGAAAAAACACTTTACTTATCGGGCGTTCAAAGCCAACAACATTTCCAGATAATGAATATCGCACCATCCGAAAATAAAGATGCACATCTTACATAAGCAGCTTGCACAAGCGCCGTGACGCCAGCACGCTTAGGCTGTGGGGTGATGTTGTGGATTGGAGAATTGATTTGTATCCACAACTAAACCAGAGCAGGGCCTGAAATGAATCGTAATGTTAAATGTCATTTAGTGTTCGGCGTAAAGCCGTCTGGAGGAAGCTGTGCGCTGAAAGAGACTGGGGAATTAATGAGTTTTTTAGGATGACAGATCAGAGAGTGCAGAACATTTATATAACTTGATTTGTCTTTATTTTACGTAACGTGGAAAACCACGCCGTGCCGACGAACCCTCGGAAAGTTAAGAGATGTCGCCTCCACGACAGACCTTTCTACATGAACACACATAAATCAAAATTCCTCCAAAAAACTTGTCACCGGACCAGCCTTTGATTGAGTAGTCTTTGCGGGCGGAGTGCGACTCACGGAACCACCACGACCGGGAGGGATCGCTCCCCAATCGGCGCCACTTCGACCACGGAGAAATTCAAAGGGGCGTTTGTAGCTTTGGCAACAAAAACACGTTCGAGTTTCCTCGAACAGGAAAGTCCAAATAGTCCCGAGGTCTGTGGTGACCGCCCCGCTGAGCTGACAACGACGAACAAGCACGATGTCCCAGGTTGACGTCGTCAGTAGCAGGCATTGTTATCGTGAGATGTTGCTCAGCGCTGGCAATGCGTTTGTATCAGCGGCTGCATCTGAGCTGCACGGGTCTGGTTTGAGAGCCATAAACAGAGCCACGAGACACTGCGGTGATCCGCTTTGATTCGTTCCAAAAGTTACCTCTCGAGTTATGTTGACAGCACGGGGTGCAATCCCTTGAGGGCTGCGGCGGCGGCGGGGGTGGCGCTCGGAACACGGCGAGAATTTTGTTCACTCATTTTGTGAGAATGCGAGAATTCACCACGGGGTCCCATTGTTACCGCCTGACTACAATCAGACCCGTGTGTGCACACGCACACAACGGTCCCCCGTCGAGCCCACACATGCCAGGTGGAGCAAGTGCTGTTCGCGCGCAGCACCTATGAAGGGCGGCATGTCCGCACTAAGGTGGTGGGTTGCCGGCACCACCCCCGGCCGCCTTTGTCTTCCCAATGCTGATATTTACACACTGCTCCGGGTACTCATTTTTAAAGCTGAATCTACCTAGGAGAGGGCCCAGAATGGGGGGAATTGAACTCGGGTCGCCGAGTTTGTAGCGCAGTGCGCTAACCTCTCCACCACCGCTCCCCACAAAGACACACACACCCACAAAGACATGCACACCCACAAAAACACACACACACACCCACGCAGCCTGGACCACGCGCACACACGAACACGCACGCTCCCCGCACGAAGCGAAAGTGGCGACTTAACCCTTGGGAGCTGGAGTGTCCACCCTGATGCCGGCCGACATCGGTGCTCGCTAACAGCCCTTTCCCCAACATTCCGTTGAAGGCTAATCCGGTGTATCTTTGTCTCTTTGTGTGGTGCACGCCTCTCCGCAGGGCGCCAACTGCCTGGTGAGGTCGTACCCGGCTCGCGAGGACCGTCTGGCTCACGTCGAGAGCGACCAGGAATCGCTCTCTCTGCAGGTGCCGGCTCGAACATTTGACCCGCAGCCTTTCTCTCACCCGTGATCTCACTATTCCGCCCCGCCGCCCACCCCCCTTGAGCTGCTTGGGTGGGTGGGCTGCCTTAGCTTTTGCTCGGTCTGCTCCACGCCGAGCGGCGCCACAGTGGCCGTGTACCGACGACAATACACGCGCCGCAAATCGCCGAGGAATTCACGTTTCAGGCGTCCACAATTCACGAGCCAAATGCCAACGGCGAGGTCTGCTCGCCACGAGAGGGCCCCGGGAGGGAGTTGGTGTCACGTGGCGACCCCCCCCCCCCCCCCCACAGTGGTCCGTAGTTTGTTTCTACCGCACGGCCACAATCGCACTCCCGTGACGTGCCGATGCGGTCGATGGTGCCACCACCAACGTCCTCAAGGAATGCCAAAGCCAAGGGGGATTGATGATGTTAGGATCTGGAATGTCCGCGTTGTTCCACTGTGTTCGGTCGGCGTTGTTTTCAGATCTGGGTGAGATTCTAGGATATGGCGAGTGATGGATGTTTATTCCCCGGCACGTGCGATTGAGGGGGGGAGGGGGGGGTTCAAGCGATTCCACGAGATCGCTGATTGAAAGGACCACGTGGGATCGAAATTGAGTGTCGATCCTCACAAGAGGATGAGTGGCTCTCTTCCCCACTCTAACGAGCGCACACAGAAACGCGCAGTGGCTCTCATCTGCGTTTTAAATCCAAGAGCCGTTGAGTGACGCCGCTTTAAAATCAAGTAGCCGCTGCGCCGCGTCACGGCACGGGGGTGGAGCGGTGGCGAAGTGGATCATGAACCTCCATCACGACACATCCGGTGGTCATCCTCGTAGCAGCAGCAGCGGCGGCGGCAGCGGCTTGTGGCAAAGCATCGAACAAAAACGGCGGTGGTCACCGCAACGCTCCGATATTAGCAAGCCACTGGAGCCAAGCACGTTTAAGTCTAGAGTGAAAACTAATTCCTTTAGAACTGTTTGTTGTCGTGTAAAGTTTGTTGTCCTTCTCCCGCACCTCCGGTTGGCTACGTACGGTGCGAAAGAAGTTAAACATGCATACACTACGCGAACGACATCCGAGGCGAGTGACGTCCCAACCAGCCCTGGCCATTTAATGAGTAGCCGGTGAGGTGGGGGTAGGAGCCATCAGCATCGACGATGGCTCCCGCTGTCGCCTTTTATAATCGGCCCTCGCCACCTGCACTTGCCCGCTACAGTGTGGGGAGGCTACACGGGGGATCTTTGTCTCTGTCTCGGCGCAGGTGGGCGTGCTCACCGAGCAAGTGGAGGTGCAGAACGACAAGCTGCACGAGTTGGAGTCCACCGTGGTGGAGCAGCGCCAGCGCCTCTCGTCCACCGAGACTCTGCTGCACGAGGTGACGACCACGATGACGACCACGATGATGACGACATCCCCCTCCTCCTCCCTCTTCTTCTCATTAATAATCAATACAATGTATTGTTGAGTACATTGACTCAGCACATCATCCCTCTGTCCGGGGTCATCCACATTGCGGGCAGGGCCACAGTTATAAAATAATAAAAATAAAACATAATAAAATAATTCTCACGACGTTTCGACCACAACGCAAACAGCCGTCCTCGACAGACCTGGTCTTCACCTGAATTATTTTATTATGTTTTATTTTTATTATTTTATTACTTCCCTTCTACGTGACTTTACCGAAAGAACCAAGAAGATGAATCCCTGCAGTCACGAAAGCTTTAAATCGAAAGTTCCACAGTGGTTTGTTCACACGGATAGACTCGCCCAGCCAATGGAACGTGGACTTCCCACCGCTGACCCAGGGCTGTATCAACAGGGGGACGAGCCAATCGCCTGAGTCCTCACTCGAGCAGGACATTTCACGTTCAAACTTTGACTTTCATCAACCAAGGGCGGCCAAGTCGGTGCTCCAACCCGCGAACCTCTGCAACGAGCGGCCGAACTTCTCCGGCCAAGCCCGGCCGCGTCTACGCGTGGAGGGCTCCACCGAGTAATTGCTCATCGCGCAGATGTGAGCCTCGGCTATTTGAGTAATTGGCAAATCAGCGCGACGAAAAGCACTCGCGAGAGACGACGCCCGTTTTGGTTCTTCCGCTAAAAATAAAGACGCGTGCCGGGCGTTGGGAGTCGCGAATCGCGAATCTCGCGGACGCGGCCCGGGAGGTCTCCCCAATAATTGCCTGGCCACGGAGACGGAAGCGCGACTTGTGGAAGTCGTCGCTCATCGCGGGAACGCACTGCCAAGTTTGCTCGCGAGCAGAACCACTAATCATGCCAATGCGCGTTCAGCACGTCAGACGATCTCATGCGCACGTCTCGGGCGAATTACGGCGGCAGCAATTGCGCACGACGAGCCCCTGCCGAGCACGGATCTCGGTAATTGGTGACGTCTGCTAATGCGGAAAGTGAACGGGCGCATTGGTCTCACACGCACAGACACACACACACAGACAGACACACATACACAGACACACACAGACAGACACTATACACAGACACACACACAGACACACACAAACAGACACACACAGACAGACACACATACACAGACACTCACACACACAAACAGACGCAAATACAGAGAAAGCGGATTCGCTCCAGAAACGTGACGCTTCGATGACTCACAATATTTTTTTTTTGGGGGGGGGGGGTCAGATCGCCGCGTGAGTACAATAACGAGGTGTGGCGTCGGGCACCCTCCTCCAGCCGACCACTGTGAAAAGAGCTTCATTGATTATCGGATTCCTCCAGTATAATATTAAATATAAAATAAAGTCCTCGCCTGATGAGCAGACACGTGCCCATGTATCGTTGCTTCAGCGCAGCGGCGCGCGGCCGAGCGATCCACGCGCGCACGCAATGCACCACTGCCCCGACGCTCCACTTCTTGGATGCTGTACAACCTAAACGTGTCGTGCATAATGCACGGGCATAATATGACTTTGAAACCCCCCGCCCACCTCCTACGCATTTCACAAGTAGTACTAATCACATACCTGCATTTCCCATAAATATGCTAAATTCCTCTTGATATGCAAATTATTTTGTCAAGGCGCTCTTCCCCCTCCAACCCAGCTTAAATATACGCTCCAAGCCTGGTGGTGTTTCATTCAGACGCTGTCTTCCCGACAGACCTGTTCTTCACCTGAGGACGGCTGCTTGCGTTGTGGCCGAAATGTCGTGAGAATTATTTTATTATGTTTATTTTTTATTTTTATTTCCCTTCTACGTGACTTTACTGAAAGAACCAAGAAGATGAATCCCTGCAGTTACGAAAGCTTTAAATCGAAATTTGTCGTCGTTGTTAAGGTGCAACAACAACGGCTGCACGCAACTGAACCAGCTCACGCGTTAGACACCTCTGCATTAATGTATGTACGTTGAACTTCGTTCACACCGCACGTTGTTATTTGGAGGTGCGGGGGGAAGGACAACACTGGTAGTCGTCCACACATACAAACAATGCGCGCGGCTTGGGTTGTGCCAACTCATCGCTGAGGTGCGGGGCCGCAGCGTCACAGAGTCCAGGAAGGACCTTGCACCAGAAAATATAAATATGTTAGGGCCAAAGCTGATAGCGAGGAGGAGAGCGCTGGGTCATGAAGAGCGTAGAGTTTGACTCGAGGGGGGTGTGGACTGTGTTCTGACCCCCCACTGCCTCCTCCCGTCGCCCCCAGGGCTTCTCCCGGCAGCTCGAGGACCTCTCAATGCGAATCTCGGAGCTGCGGGGCTCCAAGGCCGAGTACGAATCGCTCCTCCAGTCGACCAAGGTGAGGCCCGAAGGCAGTCGCATGAAGACAATGATGACAATGATGATGATGACGACGACGATGATGATGATCACGATGATGATCAAGATTACAATGGCGATGATTACAACGATGACGACGAACATGATCAAGATGATTATGACGATAATGATGACGGTGATGATCACAATTATTGCCTGTGCCCCCCCCCCCCTCCGCCCCCCCCCCCCCCCCACGTAGTCGGAACTGGCCGAGTTGCGGGAGAGAGTGAGCCTCCAGGAGGACGGCGAGAAACTCGGTGCCGTCAGGAGGAACGGCGCTACTCAGGGAGGGCAGCACGGGGACCCCAGTGGGGCAGGTAAGGGACGCCACGGGTGCCGAGATGTTAACTACCTCGCCAGATATACAGGAGGTCATAGGTTCGATCTCGACCCTGACGATGTTTATATATTTGGAATTTGCGTGTGTCTCTCTCCACGTGATCGCGTGGATTTTCCCCCGGGTAATCCAGTTTTTCCCTCCACATTTAGAATAAACATCACGCTTATTTGGCTGCAATAGATTCCCAGGTGATGATAAACCAATTCGTTGAGCTCTCATTTGTGGTCAGTTTCGCTTAAAAAAAGCAACGTAGCTCAGTGGGCCTTATCTGGTAAAATAAAAACAATGTTTAAGTTTATCTTCATAGTTTAGTTTAATAGTTTAATCTTGATTTGAAGCTTTCGTGACTGCAGGAATTCATACTCTTTGGTTCTTTCGCTAAAGTGTAGTAGTTTAGTCAATAGTTTGCGCCAGGAGCCCATGCCACCCACACCACTGGTCACGATTGAGGAATCGTCGTGAAGGCCGCAAGTTCCATGATGGGCAATGACCACGAAGCGGGGGCGTTGCTCCAAACACTCCGAGCAAGGAGAGCGTTCCAACTTTCTCTCCCTGTTGTTGTCATTGTAGTGTTGTTTTGATGTTTTTGTTGTTGTTTCTGCCAACAGATAAGCAGCAGATGAAAGTGCTGGTGGCCTCGCTTTTGGAAGCGAATGAGAAACAGGTTGGGAGCTTTTTTTTTGTGCGCAGCAAAAACAAAATCCTGCACAACGCTTTGATAATATTGCCAACGTTTAACCCAGCGCCGCCGCTATGCAGTATTTTCGCTCGCTGCCGAAGAGAGAGGAATCACAGCCAGGCAGGCAGTGAGCCAGCGCAAACTTCCCCCCTGGCTCTCCTCTAGATATGAAGATGTTATCGGCCAATTTCTTGAGTGTTTATGTGTGCGCGACAATCAGAGCACCTGGGGAAAAAAACCCCACTCGTGCAAGAGGGCAACACCCGTCTGTCACCGTTGACCTCTACGAGAACCATGACCCACATGAACATTAGCTGCCCATGCTGATGACTCTTGGGCTACGCCCATCTCCAAACCTTCATAAACAGTTTGCCTTTAGAGGCTAACCCCCCTTTTCCTGATGACGATCACTTGTGTTGCGATCGAAACGTCGGAGTTTTTTTTGTTATTTTCTTTGAACCTATTGACGTGACTTTACCGAAAGGCCCAAAGAATGTGTTAATTATTGTTGTTGTAATATTAATCTTGATTTACGTTTGTGTCCTGGTTTATATTTCTCCCGTGACGCAGTTGTTTTGTGTCTGTATTTCCATTTCATTGGTTTTGCCCTGGTTACTCTTTGCTTCCTTGTTGTACTTTTTTTACGTCACTGCTCTTGTCATTTTGGTGACCCCAGGCCACTCTTGAAACCCGAGACCCCTGCTGGTTTCTTGCGCTTCTCACCCAGTTCAAGAAAATGTCAACATTGTAACTCAATCTCGTGGCAGGAACGCAAGATCTCCGAGCTGCAGGAGATGGTGCAGACGGTCGGACTCAAGAAGCACGAGTGCACGGTCGTGGAAAACCCGGACTCGGACCGCCCGGAGTATGGCAACATCAAACCGCAGCGATTACAGCCGTTCAACCACAGCCACGAGCACAACCACGTGTGTGAAGAACAGCTGGGCAGCGAAGAGATACGCAGCGGACGAGAGACAGACGCACGCAGAGAGAAGACAGATGCAGATCTGATAGGTGCACCACAGATTCAAATCGCAACGGAAGGGACGTATGAGATAATTTTAGATCAGGTAGGAGCAGAGCGGGTACACACGAGCAGAGAAGAGATTGGTGCAGAAAAGACAGGCAGAGATAAGACAGCCGCAGACGTGATGGGCATGAACACAGAGCAGAATAGCGTACACAAGATGTGCACAGAGCCGATGCGCGGGGGGCAGATCCAGGGGACACAGATGAATGGAACACAGATGAACGAAGGGCAGATAGACTTAACGCACATGAGCGTAAACGAAGAACAGATACACAGGGAAGAGAGAGCCACAATGCAGATATACGCAGAAAAGACAGGGGCAGAACCGAGACGTATGGAACGCAGAGCCGCAGAACAGATGAATATGGAACAGATAGCTACAGGACAGATGGACGCAACAGAGATAGCCACGCAGCAGATGAACACAGATGAGACGGGCAGAGCAGAGATAAACGCAGGCAACGTTGACACCGATCAGATGAACGCGGAACAGATAGCCAAAGGACAGGTAGCCACTGAACAGGTAGCTACAGGACAGATACCCAAAGTAGAGATAGCCACAGAACACATAGCCAAAGAACAGATAGCCAAAGGACAGATAGGCACAGAACATATAGCCACAGATCAGAGAGCTACAGGACGCATACCCGACGCAGAGATAGCCACAACACATATAGCCACAGAATATATAACGACAAAAAACATAGCTCAAGAACATATAGCTACAGACCAGATCAGTACAGGACAGATACCCGAAGCAGAGATAGCCACAACAAATATAGCCACAAAACATATAGCCACAATACATATAGCCAAAAACCAGATCGCCAAAGACCAGGTAGCCACATACCAGATAGGTGCATCTGACATTGACACAGAGCAGATGAACAGAGATGAGATGGCCGGAGCGCAGATGAACGCAGGCGACCTTGGCAAAGTGCAGGCGAGCGCGGTAAACCCTTCAGCTGAGCCATCGGTGACAGACGAGACGGTCACAAACCAACCGGCAGCAGATCACACGACCACGGAACCGCCAGGCCAAGCCCATGCAGGCCAAGAGTTCACGGCCACCGGGCAGCTGGAGTCCGTCCCCTTGGCTCGAGGTGAAGAGGACTGGAGGAGCCCGGAGATCACCGGCGCTGAGGTGCGTGACGGCGCGGCGAGTTGGTCGCGCGCTTGCGATAGAGACGGCGTTTGAACATTTAGGCCAAACCGTGGCCGTTACCATCTCGTGGTGAATCACGGTCGGAGCGCAGTCTAGAGGTGGGCAGGTCGCTTCCAACTCCCGGCCGCAAATCTCGATGCGCCGGTGGTGCAGGTTTGTTCGATCCCTCTGCCCCTATCCACACGCAATTTCAATGTTTATTTGTTACGTGGGAAGTGCCCGTGTGTAGCCAGTTACCCAGATAGTTTGTAAGGGAGATCCGTGGTGCGTCAGCACTGAACAGGAACAATTGCGACATCGAAGTCGATCGGCGGGTCACCTGAGGTGGGGTAAAGCGTGGGTAACCGCACATACTCTTCCAAGACGTCTAAGCCAGCGTAGAAGAGTCGCCTGAACGCCGTCGAGAGAGGCCTGCGAGAGCTCCCACGAGACCTTCTGCCAGCAGTGACGTGAACAAGAAATTGCAGGGCGACACTTTTACCTTCCCAACTCTTGGCAAAAATATATTTGGATTGAAGAACAACTTCCAAACAAACAAACACACAGGGCTTGTGTGTGCGTGCAAGACGCCTTGTTTCCGTCATCAATCAGGACTAACCTGATACTGGTCCAGGAACAGGCCAGGGATAGCACCACGGGCAGCACCCTGGGGCCAGGTCAGTGTGGGCCACTCTGCGTGAGCCATGAGCTTCAGTGGGCTCGCCCCCTCCCTCTCCATCACCATCTGGTCCCCCACCCCGCCCCCCCATACCCCATCTACCCTCCAAGGCCAGTTGGAAGCAAGAATTAAAAACATGTATTTCGGTAATCGGAGACTAGGTGAGACTATTAAAATCTAATTTTATTTTTTCCCGGTGTTTGTGCTTTTAACACAATCTTGGCTCGGAGGCTGTAATAACAAAAAGAGATGTACTGATAACTATGACAAATTCTATATTGAAATATTATTTACAGCTCTTTGTAAATCTACTGCCGGAGGAAGGACCTCCAACTCCCCCCCACCCGGCGGCTTCAGTGACGCGCGTGGTGCACGCGCGCTCCTCGCAGAAGAGTCGAAATTAAAAGTGACAAATACAGAATCATGATCGCTGCCTCACGCGAGCCTGGGACGGCAGCAACGGAGGCTCCGATAACCCAGTCACAGACAGGTGGCTTGCTAGAATGCGTGCGAGTGCCAGTGCATGTGTTCCCGGGCGTTGGACACTTCACGTGGCCTCCAGGTGCACATGGCCTGGCACAAGCGTCGTGGTGACGTCACTGCCACATAGTGGCGAATGGCGGTTGTTGTTGTTGTGATCAATAACAGTGGCGAATATTTGAACCGGTCCCGGGCCTCCCCTAGGTCGACTCAGCCTCATACGAGTACCTGGTGCGGTGTGTAAACATCGCTACCCAACCCCTCGTGTGCCATGCCGACCTTCATAGGTGTTCGCTAACAATTATTGCCCTAATAATGTGTTAACGCTATACGGGAGGTTGTTGTCTTTGTGTGTGTGCCAATGTCTTTGCAAGGGAGGAAGTGATAGGAGATCGCGTGGCAGGGAGTTGAGTGAGATTAAAGGGGAGAGGTAGGGGAGTGCGTGGAGTGGAGTAGAGCGAGGTGAGTGGGGAGAGGTGGGATGCTGCGTGGAGTGGAGTAGAGTGAGATGGGAGAGGTAGGAGAGTGCGTGGATGGGAGTAGAGTGAGATGAGTGGGGAGAGGTAGGAGAGTGCATGGAGTGGAGTAGAGTGAGATGAGTGGGGAGAGGTAGGAGAGTGCGTGAAGAGGAGTAGAGTGAGATGAGAGGGAGAGGTAGGAGAGTGCATGGAGGAGAGTGGACTGAGATGAGAGGGGAGAGGTAGGGGAGTGCGTGAAGGGGAGTAGAGTGAGGTGAGTGGGAAGAGGTAGGGGAGTGCGTGAAGGGGAGTAGAGTGAGGTGAGTGGGAAGAGGTAGGGGAGTGCGTGAAGGGGAGTAGAGTGAGGTGAGTGGGAAGAGGTAGGGGAGTGCGTGAAGGGGAGTAGAGTGAGGTGAGTGGGAAGAGGTAGGGGAGTGCGTGAAGGGGAGTAGAGTGAGGTGAGTGGGAAGAGGTAGGGGAGTGCGTGAAGGGGAGTAGAGTGAGGTGAGTGGGAAGAGGTAGGGGAGTGCGTGAAGGGGAACGAGTGATCGTGGGGGCTCACTGTGCACAGGGAACGACGGAGGAGGAGATAGAGCCACCACCTCAGCACGTGGCGCCGTGCCCTGCTGGGGAGGGAACGATGCCAGACGGCGAGGCTGCACACCACGGGTGACTCGGCACGCCGCGTCACGGCCTCCACTCGACTCACTCACAGCACTCATCATCATCATCGTCGTCGTCGTGATAATGATCATCTCATTCTCCACGACACTCACAGACTTGCATAGAGACCCATAGACTCATACACACTTACCCTGACTTACATACAGACCCATAGACTAATATACACTTACAGAGACTTACATAGAGACCCATACAATTAAATACAGAGCCATATACTCATATACACTTCCATAGAATTGTATAGAGACCCATATAAAACACATATACATACTCATCAAAAGGCAAATACAATGACTCTCTTTTGTATATAAATATTGTATACTAAATGTGGCTAAACGCACGCACGCACACACGCATACAAAAATATACATCACTCTAATGCATAAAACACGCAGTGCATCTTTTGTGTATCTAATAAAACAAAATAAATAAATATGAGTTCCATTAATAACATCAAAATTGCATTTCATCCCACTAAGGGAGCCTAGATGAAATTCAATTAGTCGTCAATGTCAGCGCTGAGCCCGAAATAACGCCGTGGATTCTCGCGGAAAAAATGTGCACATTGACCAAGTCCCTTTGCTCGCACACACTCCGAGCCCTGACGGCCACTGCGCTCTGAAGGGACTACCTCTTCCCTTCACGTCGTCGTCGTCGTTGTTATCACCAAGGTCGTCACGGTCGTTGTTATCGGCATCGTGACATCAGCGCCAAGGGCATCGTCCGTCACCTTGCTTAACGTGATTGCCGTTGTGGTTTTAATCGTGAATATTATCATCGTCGCTCTTGTTATTACGCCATTAGCATATGGATACGATGTTCATTCACTCGTTCAGAACAAGGCCATCGTCGTAATGAACATTGTCATCATCATCATCATCACCACTATCATCACCACCGTCAAGTTAATCATTGTCATCATCTTCATTAATTTCATCAGAACCAATATTACAGCACTGTCAATTCTCTCATCATCATCATCAACGTCGTTTCATCATTAATCTTAAAGCCATCTTATCTTGAACAAGGTTAACAAGATTATAACGGCCAGCATCATCGTCATCATCACTGCTTCGTTGTCGACGGACATGGACTGCACGAAACACCATGGAAGATCTTCTTGGTTCTTTCGGTAAAGTCACGTAGAAGGAATTTTTTTTAAATTATAATAATAAAATAATTCTCACGACGTTTCGGCCACAACGCAAGCAGCCGTCCTCAGGTGACGGCTGCTTGCGTTGTGGCCGAAACGTCGTGATAATTATTTTATTATGTTTTCTTTTTATTATTTAATTATTTCCCTTCTACGTGACTTTACCGAAAGAACCAAGAAGATGAATCCCTGCAGTCACGAAAGCTTTAGATCACCATGGAAGAGTCGAGTTGCCAGGTATCGTGTGAAGAGGTGGCTCTTGCACGAGCTAGCAGCGAACGTGTTTACGCACGAGGGAGACAATGGCCTTTGAGAACAGGGCTAAAGCAGCGCAGAGGACGCTGCATGTATTCGTGGGATGACGAGGCAAGCAACTTGTAGGTTGAGAATAGAACATGGAACAACAGTGCTATTGTAGTCACGAAGAAGATGAGGAGGTTGTGATGGGTGGGACGCGTGGGCAGAGTGTAGGAGGATAGCGGAAGCGACTTGGAGGATGGAATAGGACAGAGGTCAGAAACCAAAATAACGAGAACCATTTTCATCGAATTCAGTAAAATAAAACTCAATATCCGAAATGCATGGACATACGAGACGGTGGTGCTTACCAGATGACGTCACGAAGCGGTCTCTAAAGTGCCGCAGTTTGCCGACCCCTGAGATAGAAGGACGAGGTTGTGATGGGAGGGACACGTGGTGAGCAGGGTTGAGGACGAGGAGGGCCGGTGACCGGCATGGGCATCGGAGTTGCACCCAGAGGTGGGCGAGCACGGGGAAGCGAGGGCCTGGAGCCAGGCGGCTGAGATGATGATGCGAGTTTGAGAGTTGCTCTTGAAGGTTGTGGATTTTACTTTAAAAGAACGAGTGGATCTAGCAGAAGGAGGTGATGACGATGTGAGGCAGCATCAGCGGCAACAGCTACCGTGACCTCTTCCCCGTAACCTGACCCCTGTACGTTGCGCCTGGGGCGTCGTGTGTCGCTACACCGGTGCCCGTTATTCGATCGGCAGGTCGCGTGCGGTGGCGCAAAGTGTGGGTACCCTTCCTCCAAGACGTCTTGGCCAGCGTGGAAGAGCAGGCCTACGATACCGTCGCAGAAGACCTCTCGCGAACTCTCATCCGCGAGCAGGAAACCGCAGGGCTGCACATTTACCCGTATCCCACTAACGCACGCGCTCATCATTTCAGATGCAGCAGCAGCAGCAGCGATGACGATGGAGACGCCTGGAGCCCCAGCGATGCCAGCGCTCAGGTGACCTCCGAGTGCTCGGCAGGTGACACGGGCACGGGCCATGACATCGGGAAAGGAGGGGGGGAGTAGCTGGCGACCCTCTGCGGGACAACGCAGAGGGTCGCCAGCTCACCTCACTCCACTCCCCTCCACGCACTCCGCGCTGACGATGTGTACACATCGCACAAGGTGCTCATTTGAGGCTGAGTTGATCGACCTAGGGGAGGCCCAGCACCGGCTCAGACAATCTTCCCCGGTGCTGACGACCATGCTCGGGAAATCGAACACTGGTCGCTTTATCTTCTTGGTTCTTTCGGTAAAGTCACGTTTTTATTATTTTATTATTTCCCTTCTACGTGACTTTACCGAAAGAACCAAGAAGATGAATCCCTGCAATCACGAAAGCTTTAAATCGAAACTGGTCGCTTTCTAAAAAGTGCATTACACACACATAATGACGATATTAAAAAAATGCACACACCGCACTCATCTTCACATCACTGCCCTGTTACGGGAAAATAGTCGTCTGACGTTTCGGGCAACGATCCTTATTCAAAGTAAAGAAAGTTGGAGATGGAACTTTACACGACGGGGCCCCGGGGGTTCAAATTTCATCAAGTTGGCAAGCGAGCGAGTCCCCACGAGAACGTAACAGAACAGCCGACTGACCCCTTCCCTGTGCAGTTGCACCGCCTGCACACTCGAGAGCAAATCGCGGTCCCCCCCCCCCCAAGCACCGTCGCCTTCGTTGATCTCATTCAGGTCGACAACAACGGGGGAGCGAGGACGAGCCACGCGGCCCCGGCCGTGTCCACCGCGGAGCCGCGTGGCCACACGGCGGCCCGGAACGGCGACGAGCGCGTCCCTGCCCAGGCCCGCGCGGCCCAAGCGGCCGCGAGCCCGAAGGACGGGAAGTTCAGGCTGAGTCTGAGACGGAAGGCATCCTTCAGACGGCTGAGCTTGTTCAAGAGGAGGAGCCAGAAGCAAAGGGGCAGCGAACTCGCGTCAAACGCAGGTGCGCACGTGTGTGTGTGTACACGTGTGTGCGTACATGTGTCTGTGTACACGTGTGTGTGCGTACACGTGTGTGCGTGCACGTGTGTGTGTACACGTGAGTGTGTACACGTGTGTGCGTACACGTGTGTGTGTACACGTGTGTATGTACACGTGTGTGCGTACACGTGAATGTGTACACGTGTGTGTGCGTACACAAGCCTGTGTTAGTCTTAATCTTTATGGGGAGCGGTAGTGTAGTGGTTAGCGCGCTGCATTATGAACTAGACGACCAGAGGTCGATTCTCGCTCACGGCCAACACCGGTGACGATTATTTGAATCGGCCCTGGGCCTCCCCCAGGTCAACTCAGCCTCAAATGAGTACCTGGTGCGGTGTGTAAACATCGCCACTGGGGAGACAAAAGCGGCCGGGCGTGGTGATGGCCATCCACTGCCTCGTGTGCCGTGCCAGCCTTCATAGGTGCTCCCTAACAGCACTTGCCCCAACAGTCTGTTAAGGGCATATGGGGGATCTTTGTCTTTGCGTAGACGTGTCTGTGTTGGTCTTCATGGCGAGTGACAGCGGTGTGGTTCGCGGGTTTTGCTACGTATCCGACGACCCCAGTTTGATTGCCGCTCACTGCCCAGCATCGGTGATGGATAGCGAAACTCGTCCGGGGCCTTAAATGGGCACCTGGTGCAGCGTGTAAACATCAGCACCGCGGAGGCAAAGGTTGTCTGGGAGATCTTTGTCTCTCCTGTGTGATCCTTGTGTGGAAGTGAAGGAGAAACTGTGTCTGTGTGTGTGTGTGTAAAGGTTAATAACGTCATTTATTTACCTGCGAAAGCCTCGCAGAGCCTGACGACTCACTTCTTCAAACGAGCCCTGTGATGGGATGTTTGGTCAATACCACTTTAATCCCAGGATGCAGCCCAGGATCCGAGAGTGGGGAGCTCTGTATGCCTCTGCTAGAGGATATTTGGTCGTCTCTTCCACGCTCTGCCAGACATATTTGATGGAGGTGGGAATTTCCCACGTTTTACCTCACCACTCACGACCTGCCTATCGGCTGTGATGAACCCATTTGTACGGTGGAGACAGAGGTGGTGCGGAGGGGGTAACGGGGTAGAGATTTAAGGATTTAATACAATTGCCCAATGAGATGACCTGGTGGATCAGAGGTCAGAGCGCTAGCACTGCTGAGAGCCTGGATTCCAATCCGCCTGCAATTAAACCGCATTCTCAAATGACTTACACAGAGACCCAACGACTAACATCGAGACCCATAGACTCCCATAGACGGTAAAGTCACGAAGGTAAAAAATGAAATTAAAATGAATAAAAAAAACAATTATTATTAATTTTATTATTTTATTAATTTTTATAAATTTTTATTTCATTTTTTACCTACGTGACTTTACCGAAAGAACTAAGAGTATGAATCCTTACAGTCACGAAAGCTTCAAATCTAGAATCCCATAGACGGGCCTGTGTATTGAGTCAATGGTCTCATTCCAGTCGCTAATACCTGCACACACACACAAAAAACTCGTCAAATTAATCTAGATTTGAAGTTAAAGTTCAAATAAAATTTGACTCTGGCTGAGTTTGGTTTAATTTCAGCTCTGAGAATGAAAAACATCAGCTTCCCTGCCACGCCACGCACATTGCTCTAAGTGGCTGGGCTGGTGGCAAAGTTCCGTGGTCCAGAGGTCAATTGAAGGCTTCTCAGAGGTAGCTCACTAAGATCAATTTCTGTGGACCGTTCTTCAGCACGGAGGGTTGCACCGCTGTGCTATCCGAATGGACACTCTGTCTCACGACGAGGCGTCGATTGCACAATCAGAACATCGGGGAAAGAGACCTTCAATGAAATGGACGTGTCCTCGTGCACAGGTTAATAACGTTATTCATTTCTCTGGGAAAGCTCCCCTGAATCTAAAGACTATTTATCAGAAGGGTCTTGCATTGGCATATTGACCCAACGACCCTACATTTTCAATGCGTTACAAGCATTACCATTTGCGGTACTGCTCAGCTCCCATGTTCCTCTATGCTATACGCCTTCACCAAAGCCATACTGACCAGCATGGTGCATTATGGTCAAACAACCCCCAATAAACGCATGGCGCGGGGAGGCCCTCAACCAGCAGTGGATTGAGAAAAATGGGCTGTACGTGTACATATTACAAAAAAACGCCGAAATTAACAAAATCGTTATTAAACTAAATTCGTATTTATTTCTACGTTACTTTAGCGAAAGAACCACAGAGTAAAATCTTTATATGTTTTATCTTTAAATCCCCGAACCGGCGCCACTACCCTGAGCCCAGCTTGTCGCCATTGCAGGAGTGGCCGAGGGGCCTGGGCCGAGCTCGGAGGCCCAGGAACTCCTGGAACGGATTTCTCCCGCCACGATCCATCTCCGCGGAGTTGGATCGACGGACATGCCAGAGGCGTCGCCTTCATCGCCGTCCGTGGAGAGGAAGAGGAGGGACAGCGGCTTCCGGAGGCTCCTCGACAAGTGAGGACCCCGGCAGCGAGCGTGATCTAACTTACAAACACCCCACTAAAATAGCGATCGCAGAAGGCGAAGGGGCCGCCCCTGAAAGTGTTCGCGCCACGGCTGGCGGGCGCTTGCCTTCACTCGAGGCAAGCCAGAACCTTCCTCTGGCGGATGTTTTGGCCCACTCTTCGACGCCGGCCAGACGTCTTGCAAGACGCGGAAGTGCCCACGCTTTACCCCGCTGCTCGCGACCTGCCTATCGTAGGCGAACTGTTGCGTCCCGATTTCTACTGCTGGGTGAACAGACTGTTAAACTGCCGCGCCAGGAGATTAAACCTGCGATCTCTGGTTGTGCAAGTCCAGGGTGCTATCCAAGATATAGAGATGATGTATGATGCCACATTGGGAGTGGGGCAAGTGGTGCTGTAAGCGAGCGCCTAGGAAGGCCGACGCAGACACGCGCGATGACGCTGCCTCCGATGTCCGTCCACCAGGCTGAGGAAGACTCCGTCGCTGGGGCAGAACGGCGAAGGCCTGACGCTGGGTGTCGAACTCAGGCGCAGGAGCTTCCGGGCCCCGCACTGCCGGTGGAGCTGGGCCCTGGACCCGCGCGCCTCCCATGGGTGAGATGCGCCCACCCCTCATCCCTCACCAGCCACCGTCAAATACCTACACCTGCCTACAGCAGGTCAGCCAACCAGCCGCGACTGCCAGCTATAACCCTAACGAGATAGCCAACCAGCCACTAATGCCACCTCTAACCATAACCAGCTAGACAAGCACGAGTGCCAGCCCTGTCACTGACACGAGCCAACCTCCAGTGCATCACTATTTCGGGCCAACTGCTCTAACGGTGTCCACGTCTCTGATCCATTGAACAAGCCACCTGATCACGGGGGTGCATCACTACCCACGCCTCTTCCCTCCACAGCCCTATCACCCGTGCCAAACGCCCTGTCTTGGCCGGGACAGTCACCAGAACATTTTGAGAAAACCTGAATTTTCTTTTGTTTTTGACGTAATATCCCGGTGGCCTCAACTCTCGGCTCATTATTAGGGCAATGGGCGGGACTAACTGAGCAGTGGGCGGAGCTAGTCGAGTTGTGGGCGGAGCTACCCGGGACAGAGGGGCGGGGCTTATTAGGCAATGGGCGTGGCTAGCTAGGCAGCGGGCGTGGTTATGTAAAAGTGGGAAGGGCTGGGGCCTGCCAGCTCAACCACGTGTCCCCCCGTGAACGGTGCCACGTGGCCCACCTTCTCCCTTGCCGTGCCGCCGTGCAGGGAGCTGGAGACCCCCTTCGCCAGCTGGGGGGTGGAGCAGGTGTGCGGCTGGCTCAGCGAGCTGGGCCTGGGGGCCTGCGTGGGCCTGGCGCGGCAGTGGGTGGTGCGAGGGGACACGTTGCTGCGGGCTACGACGGAGGACCTGGAGCGGGTAGGCCGCGTGCACGGGCGCCTGCGCACGCGCGTGTGAATGGCATGTAAACACCCGGCAGCGTCATCGTGATCGGCGTCAAAGTACCACCCATCATTTGTTAGGCGTCAAATCATCGGACATGGGGAGACGGGTGGCCTGACGTGGTGCTGACCACCACCACCACCCCCTTGTGTGCCGTAACAGCATTCGCAAAGTGCGCTTGGCTCAGCACACTGTGTGTGTGTGCGTGTCTGCAGGAGCTGGGGCTCAAGAACCCTCTGCACAGGAAGAAGCTCACGCTGGCGCTGCAAGCGCTCGGCTCTGGAGAGGCAGTGGGGACCGATGACCTGCACCACACCTGGGTGACGCGTAAGCCCTGCACCACACCCGAGTGCCACTGATGTTAGCCGTGGCTGGAGGTAGAACCGAAGCCTCCCGGTTCCTCGTGCAGCGCGCTAACCGCTGCACCGCCGCTCCCCCTGCACCCGCGTGTGTGGCGGCTGCTGCTGCTGCTGTGCCCCAGGCTGGCTGGACGACGTTGGGCTGCCCCAGTACAAGGAGCAGTTCCACGAGGCACGCGTGGACGGGCGGATGCTGCACTACATCACCACGGTGAGCAACCACACTCTACCCCACCACCACCACCACCACCATACACCCCCGCACGAGACACCACCACGATACATCACCCACAATATAACACCACCATATACTACCATGATACAACACCGCCAACACCACGAGACACCACCACCACCACATGACACCACCACCACATGACACCACCATCACATGACACCGCCCCCCCCCACCTCCACGTTGACCGCCGCGTGTCTCCGTGCGCCACCAGGAGGACCTGCTGCTGCTCAAGGTGACGAACCTGCTGCACCACCTGAGCATCAAGCGTGCGGTGCAGGTGCTCCGACTCAACCACTTCCAGCCGGACTGCTTCATCCGCTCCGCCCCGGAGGTGAGGCTCAGGGGGGCATGCCCCCCCCCACCCCCGCCCCCCACCGGACAACCATCGCTTTTGACCCCCATGCGCTCATTGCCACGGTCGCCCGTTCCCCCATCACCTACTTCAGAATCAGAGTCTATCGGCATCGGTATTTAGACGGAGGAGGAATCTGATGTTCACGGATGTCCAGTCGTGGCGGGTCAGCAAGTTACAACAACGACAGCATGACACTTGCCCTGTGACCCGGTCGCAATATCACACCATTCGCTCGTTCGCTCTCAAATTTTTTATGCGCAAGCATTGAACTTGTAAAGAACGTTCAGAGGGAGAAGCGACGACAGAGAGAGAGCGTGACAGCGGAGTCTTGAGACTCCGACAGAGGCGACGGAAGCATTGCCGACGTGCGGCACCGGCAGAGAGGAGGAGGGGGGAAGTGAATTCTGGGACCGTAGTTGGAGAAGCTCGGGCCTTGACGAGGAGGAGGGATGAAGGAGGAGGAGGCCGCTTAAGGCCGATCGGAGTTTGATGGACAGGACACCGGAAGCCAAATATGCCGGCTATTCTGACTTAGTGGATTTGTCTCTGACTTCCTGGATCTTGTCCTGAAGATGCTCGGCGCAGTTGCAGATATTTGATTGCAGCTACATGTGGCTGTGAGGATTCTTCTGCAGCTCGCTGGGTGAGCGACATGAAACAATCCCAATTGGCACGTGATTCGCTCGAGCACCGTTTCACGATTTCAACTTGCTTGGTCGTGCCGGGTGGTGGAGGGTCTTGACGACACAAATTTTGGCCCAGATGATCACGTGGTGGCTGGCCTCACCCTTAACGTTTGCCTTAAGTTGTTGTTGCGGTTGTCGCTGAGGTTGCCGTACGGCTCCGGTAGCGTGTCTGTCGCAGCGAGCGCGTAGTTGTTGTGGGCGGCACGACGCCGCTAAGTCCGCCGCCGTCTCCGCCTGGGCAGGGTGCCGGAGAGCCGGGCGACGTGAGCCGGTGGCCCAACGAGCGAGTGATGCGCTGGCTCCGCTCCGTGGACCTGGGGGAGTTTGCGCCCAACCTTCGTGGGAGCGGCGTTCACGGCGGTCTCATGGTGAGCACAGCTACTGGGGAGAGGAGGTGGGGGAGGGAGGGGAGCAACTCCATCGCGTGAACTTGTTAAAGGGGGTGGGGGGGGGGGCATCCAACGATGCAGGGGGTCCGCGGCAGAGTGAATGGTGCACGTCAAACGAATGTTGAACGCTAAGCGGAATGAGCGAAGCTGCGTCCTGCTCGCACATGTCGTGCGTGACCCCCGGGCCACCGTTACAAATGAGACTCGATCCTGGTCTCTAGAGATCTCATCCGGTTAAGTAAAATCAACTCGGACACTTGAACCCGAAACTCACTTGCTCACTCACCACGTCGCTCAATCAATTACCCGCTCGCCCCACCCACCATCGCACAAAACCATTCACCCACCCGCCCGCTCATTCACTCACCCGCTCGCTCACCCGGTCACTCACCCACTCACCCTGGTCTCCTGAGCTGGTGAAACAAAATCAACTTGAGACCTCTCCGGCCCCGTCATCCCCCCCCCCCCCTCACGGCCACCACCGCCGCCACCCCCGCCGCAGATCTTGGAGCCGCGCTTCAGCGTGGAGACGCTGGCGAGCCTGCTGAGCATCCCGCCCGGCAAGACGCTGCTGCGCCGCCACCTGAGCACCAGCTTCGGCCTGCTGGTGGGCCGCGAGGCGCAGCGGGCCAAGCAGGAGGCCGCAGACGCCGACGGCTGGGCTCCTCTCTCCGTCAGCGCCAGGGTGAAGGTTAGCTCGCGGGGTGTGGGGGGGGGGGGGGGGGGCGGTACCACGCTCCAGGCCACCTTTGTCTCCCCCGGTTGCTGATGTTTACGACTCACCGTATCAACCAGATACTCGGTGATGGTTGAGTCGACTGAGGGGAGAACCCAGGACCGGTCCAGGTATTCGTCACCGATGTTGGGTTTGTCACTCATCTCCATTGGCCATTCCCTTCCTCTTCCCTCCCCTTGCCCCTCCACCATGGGGCGGTGTGGCTGGCAGTCTCGTAGACTGCAGCAGCAGGCGCTGTTAGCGAGCGCCTATTATGGTGTGGCTGGCAGTACTCTTGGCTGCCTTTGTCTTCACTCTACCCGGTACTCGTATGAAGCTGATTTGACCCAAAAGTTGCCCAGGACAGGCTGAGAGTGAACATTGCATTGCATCTGTGCCGTTACGGAGAGTTTTATTTCTTATTTTTACGTCCAGCGCTTTGAGACATTTTGATATGAAAGGCGCTATTCATGAGAAGGATTATGATTATTGTTGAAAGAAGAGCTTTTATCTCAAGGGGTTTTGCCCGAATTAAACTGACTGAATAATACAATTGTAATCGCTGCTTAGATCTTCCGAGATCTGACGGGGTCGGGCGCACTCCCCCCCCTCACTCCCACCCCCCACCGAGCTTACTTGCACCTGTGCTTGACTTTTCCTGGCGCTTCTTGTTCTCATGTTATACGTGCAGGTTTTTAAAAAATATGAATTCACCTGCGTTTCGTTTGTGACCGTTAGGCACCTCGTTTGGTCGCCGTGCAATACCCCTTAACGTCCCCCACTCTACTCGCTGCCTTCGCTATTCAATGTTTTCGCTTTTAGTTGCTGCTTCCAATACTGCTGCTGCTGCTGCTGCCACTCTGCTCACGCAGCGCCACGGATCTCCCGTGCTCAACGTCTGGGCGACAGGCCGAGCGCGACGGTGATCCGCGTAACAAATCAAATAAACTCAACACTCAAAGCCTGCAACGCCGCCTGCTCGTGGTCACGTGCTCGCGTGACCACGTGCGCGCGCGTGTGCCGATGTGTGCCGATCGGCAGGCGCAGCGACGCCGCGGATTTGTCCGAGGGCGGCAGGAGCCGACGGGGGCGGCGGCAGATTTCACCGAATACCTGTGCCCCATGGAGCTGGGCTGGGGCCCCTCGCAGCAGGGATCTCCCCCTGGGTCCCCTCCGTACGGACTCACGGTGACACCCCTCCGCAGGGGTCGCAGTCAGGATGGGCTGGACTGCATCGACGAGGTGAGAGCCACGTGGCCGCCGCCGCCGCTGCTACCGCCGCGGTCGCGCTACCGGACGGCTCGCTCTGACGCGTGTCTTCGGCGTCGTTGGCGTCGGGCATGATGTCCGACGTTTCGTGTCCGGGCAAGCGGCTGCAATCGGCAACTTGACGAAGTTGCGGGTGATTGCGAGTGTGCTGGCCTCAGCCCGGTCGCGGCAACGCGTACGCAATAAATAAATAACTACGTGTAAAAAATCGTTTTGCGCGGAATTTGGATAAAGTCCATCAACGACTGCGGAATCAAAAACATTGGTTTGGTTCGACGGCCATGTGACAAGCATTACCTCCAGTGGCAGCACGAGTGGGAAAGCGCTGCCCTCCCCCCTATTATGTAGACTAGAGGTTACTTGAAGGCATTCAGAAGTAGTTTTTGATATCCGCTTCCGTGGGACGTTGGGAAAGGATTCTTCGCCTCGTGACGCCGATAGCACAATTATGGTCCAAAATAAATCGGGGGAAACAAAAGGATGAGTCGTGTGCGGTGATGCCAGTCGGTTGACGATTCCATGCACAGGTCAATGGCGCTGTCACGACGTGACATCGTCATCACGAGTTACTAGTGACGATGATGATGATGTGAATAGAGATGATGCCATACTTTGGCCAATGCCATTGGTGCGACGATGCCACACATGGGATGATGATGGTGACGACGACGACGATGATGATGATGACAATGACACTAATGTCATTGTTTTTGTTTGTTTAAATCGTGATCGCTCAGCACTGTGCCAAAGGCACAAAGCGCCAAGGGTCCAGCAACAAACAGCACAATGACAGTTTCAATGGCTAAACGTTGATACGTTTCTATAATAACTTGGGGAAAGAGATGCACGATGGGAGGCAAGCATACAATGATGTCAGTTAATCGATGCCGATGATGACAATAACAATGATGATACCACTTCCTTGGCGATGCCGTTCACGCGACGATCAGCACTCTATCTCACGATGTCCTCCCTGTACGCCGTCCCCACTCCTCACCCACCACCCTCCCGCCCCCGCGCCTCTCTCCACGTCCCTGCCTCGGCCCCGTCTCACCAGACAGGGAGCTCCGAGTCGGTGGTGAGGAAGTTGGGGGAGTTCTCGCACGACATCGAGAACCTGACGACGGTGAGCACCGGTCACACCGACTCGCCCGGTCACATACACACGCATGACACACACATGACACACGCACGACACACACATGCACACGCACGACACACACATACACATGCATGACACACACACACATGCATGACACACGCATACACACACATGACACAAAGATACACATGCATGACACACACATACACATGCATGACACACACATACACATGCATGACACACACATACACATGCATGACACACACATATACATGCATAACACACATATATACACGCATGACACACATATAAAAAAAGTACATGCGCGCACACGCGTGCATGTACGCACACACACCCGCCCGCGTGTTTAGGCACACATATGCAAATGCTCGCACACACAAAGACAAAGATCCCCCATGCAGCCTTCACACACAGCCGGCACGGCCCGCGGCGCACGAGCGGGCGGGTGGGTGGGTGGGTGGCCAACACCGCGCCGGGCCAGGCTATCGTCTCTCTCCGCTCGCCCGCGAGCTCAGAGCCAGAGGGCGGCTCGGGAATGGGGGTGCGCTGTGGTGCAGTCGGGGGGGGGGGGGTGTAAGGGGAGGGACAGGTGTTAGGCCAACGCGATTGGTATTCATCGCGCATCAGAAATGTTTGAGTGTTCATACGCCATTCTGCTTTCACCTCTATTACCGCGTGCGCGCGTGCACGCGTCGCGTGTCGCTCGCGTGTGTCACACACCGTGGGCTCCCATTGCGCTCGCCGCTGCCAAGGCCGCCCGCCAATGTTCCGCCATCGAGCGTCGACATTGCCGCGATCGAGGTCGCTCCGCGCCCCTTGAGCCAGGGTCGTAACTCGCCCCCCTCACCACCACCCCCCCTCCCCCATGCCTTTGGGCTCCTACACCAGCTCCCCCCCCACACTCTCCCCGACCCTCCCCCAACCCCCCCCCCCCCACCTCTGGGTTTAGCAATGTCGTGCCGAGCGAGGATGATGAACGATACGAGTAACCGGGATCAGCCGCTCGGGACTGGCGCCCCGTGGCCGTGACGGGGCGCGAGCGTACGTGCCGCGCTGGTGCCGTGCGTCAGCAGCGGGGAGACAAAGGCAGGCCGGGCGCGCTGCTGGCCGCCCTCGTGCGCCGGGGGGCAGCCTTCGTCGGCGCCGCTGCACCGACCATCGCTGGCGGCGACCTTTGCCTCCGTGGCCGTGCGTGGGTAGCAGCGACTCGAGTTCGATTCCCGACCACGGCCAACGGCAGTGGCGATTATCTAAGCTGGCCGTGGCGTTTCCCCCTAGGTTGACTCGGCCTCAAATGAGTACCTGGTGCGGTGTGTTAACACCATCGGTGCAGCGGAGGCAACGGTGGCCATTGCACCCCCCCATCATGCGCTGGCCTGGCCTTAATAGGCGCCCGTTAACCTTTGCCTCTCTCTTGTGTGTGTGCGTGTGTGCGTGCGTGTGCTTGCGTGTGTGCATGCGTGTGTGTGCATGTGTGTGTGTGCGTGCGTGTGAGTGTGTCCACGTGCGTGTTTGTGTGTGCTGCGTGTGTGCACGTGCGTGCGTGCGTGTGCTTACGTGTGTGCGTGTGTACGTACGTGGATGTGCCTGCGTGTGTGCACGTGCGTACGTGTGTGCGTGTGGTGTGGGCGCGCGTGTGTGACCATGTCTTTGTGTTTACGTGGGTCGACTCAGCCGAGGTCTAGGTCGACTCAGCCTTAAATGGGTAGCTGGTGCGGTGTGTGAACATCAGCATTGGGGAGACAAAGGCGGCCGGGCGCGGTGCTGGCCACCCACCCGCTCGTGTGCCCTTCCGTGCCGGCCTTGGAAGGTGCTCGCTAACAGCATTTGCCCTAACTGTCTGTGCAGACTATATGGGGGATCTTTGTCTTTGTTATGTTTATATAAATATGCGAGCGCGTCACTGTGTGTTAGCATATGCGCGCGTTCAATTATGTACGTGCATGCATGTGCATTTCCTTTGTTTTAAAGCACGGTTGCTGTGCGTAGACACAAAACACAATCGAAAAACGCCAAGGGACCAGCAACAAAAAGCACAATTGACGGCGTAAATCGATGAGAGCGAATTAATTTCTCGGGCGTACGAACGCTCCCACCGCATTCACCCCGTATAACCGTCGCGCTGCTCTCTCCTCCTCCGCCTCTCTCTCGCTCTCTCTCTCCCCCGGCACTAGAGCCTGTTGCACGAAGACTGATTCTCACGCTGGGAGGAACACGATCGCGGAGAGACGCTGCGAGCCCCTGCCGCCGGAACAAACAGATCGTCCGCAGCTCACCAACGTCTCCCGCAGCCAACACACTCTGTCAGTGAGCGGCGGGGGTCGAGAGGTCACGCCCGACCGCGCCGCGTGCGCTAACAAGATGACCTGCTCGCCGCTCGCCGCTGTGCACGACGCCCCACGGCGGTTATGTCCAACGGAGCAGGCCGGGCCCCGCCGTGGGAATGTGGAATTGCTGGACCCTGCAAGGGCCCCCGCTTGAGACACCTCCGCAGAGTAACCCCCCACATCGATTAGCACGGTTGGCTTCAACATACGTATGTACATACAAGGTATTTTTGGCCTACTCTTCCGCGGTGGCCAGATGTCTTGGAAGCGGTGCGAGTTACCCACGCTTTACCCCACCGCACGCGCTCGGGAGATTTAGGGAACGGGTCCCCGTCGGGGTCAGTTGCCGCTCCGGGAGATCGTATCGACCCCCGGCGACCTCTGAACCGCGGCTCGCCGGTAGGAGCCACTTACAATTATCGCCACATTTTTTTTGCATCTAGTACGATTAACTTTGAACGGATATTATCGACGTCGCAGATGTTTATCTGTTTTTAAACAACGTGAAACATTAACCGCGTTGGCGAGGCGCAGGCCGGCGCGCCGAACCTTGCTCACGCGCCGGGTTGAGAAGAGACGCGCACCTCCCGCGAGCATCCGGCGCCCCCCACTTTATTAATGGATTCATGGGCGCGTAGCAACAGCAGTGGCATACAAATGTGATCTCCGCTCACACTCACGTGCCCCCCCCCCCTCCACCCCCTCGCCCACCCTCCTTCCAATCCTGTACACACTGCTGGGTCAAGAGCTGTTAGCGAGCGCCTATTAAGGCCGACATAGCAGGAATGGTGACGGATTGCGAGACGCGTCGTTCCTAATTGCGTCAGCGCGCCCTTTGATTTTGTGCCGAGTCGACTATAGGGTGGGACAGACGAGGTGTTGTGTGCCAGGTGAAGTGGTAGTGTAGCGGTTAGCGCGTTGCACTACGGATCTGGCGACCCGAGTTCGATTCCCACTCACGGCTTGCACCATTGACGATTATCTGAACCCGTCCTGCACCATCCCTAGGTCGACTCAGCCTGAATTGAGTACCTGGTGCGATGTGAAATACGAATCGGCACTGGGGAGACAAAGGCACCCGGGCGTGGTGCTGGCCACCTGTGTGCTGTGCCAGCCTTCGTAGGTGCTCGCTATCAGCACTTGCACCAACAGCCTTTTAAGGCGACAAGGGGAATCTTTGTCTTTATGGAGCGGCGGCGCACTGGTTATTGCACTTTCGCTACGAAGCCGTTGGTCAGTTGCATGAAACGTCTGAAGTGATATTGCCTCCTAGTTGGTACTGTGCATCATCGTGAACTAAGGGGACGTTTTACTTGAGGATTATTTTTGTATCACAAATTTTATGTCATTGTCCACTGATGCGGAGTGTAATCATCAGCACCGGGGAGACAAACACGGCCAGTCGTGCGTGGTGCTGGCCACCCACCCCACTTCGCGTTCCACGCCGGCCTTGATTGGTGCTCGCTAACAGCGCTTGCCCCCAAAAGGTCTGTTCAGGGCGACGCGGGGGCCCTCTGTCCCGACTGCGCCAGCCTCCTGCCAGAGGCATCGTGCACGCGACCAGGCGCTGAACCCGGCCAGCCGGGCCCACGGCGCAGCGCTGCGCGGCGCTTAATAACCGCGGTTATGCAAATTCAATCTCGGAGGCGCAGGGCGAAAAACACATCGCCCGTGACTATATTTAGCGCCGCTCACGACGCCGCTATCCGGCGGAGGGAACATCGTGTTTCATTAATGCACAAGGAGGGCTCGCCGCGGGAAATTCGCCGTGCGGGGATCGTGGGGGGCGCGGCTCGTGGCGCCGGAGGGGATTGGGGGGCTCGATGATCGGCGCTCGCTCGCTCGCTCGCTCGATGCGGCCGTTAACACGAACCTCGCATTAAACTATCGAGCGTGAAGTTTACTTCTTCCCGCTCGGCTGATCCGACTCGCGCTTATATTCCGACAGATTGCCTTGTTGAGGGTTTTAATAATAATTATTATTATAATCATTATTATTGTCCATACCAAGTTGTTAAATGTGCGCGGATCGCTGTCCGGCACCGTCATAAATTGTTCACGTTTTGTTCATCGCGTTGCAACTCCATTTGTTCGGCTGCGTCGGGTGGCAGAGGGTGCACGACACAATACCCTCGGTTTTATTTTTACTCCGAACTAAACAAATCATCTTCTTGGTTCTTTCGATAAAGTCACGTAGAACGGAAATAATAAAATAATTAAACATAATAAAATAATTCTCACGACGTTTCAGCCACAACGCAAGCAGCCGTCCTCAACTTGTATTTAAGAGCTTGAGGACGGCTGCTTGCGTTGTGGCCGAAACGTCGTGAGAATTATTTTATTATGTTTTATTTTTATTATTTTATTATTTCCATTCTACGTGACTTTACCGAAAGAACTAAGAAGATGAATCCCTGCAGTCACGAAAGCTTTAAATCGAAACTAAACACATCAGTTACGAATCATAATGTCGCGTTAGAAATGACGTTCAAATTCCGTGTTGTGTTCGTTCCGTTGGCTATAACCGGGGCTTGGTTTCAACCGAGGGAGCTGTGCGGTGCCAAGCCCCAGGAAGTCTCTCCCTGCCCCTCCACTCCTCGTCAGCAGGCAGGGCTTGGGGCCATGGTCTGGGGAGATGGGCGCCCCATAAAATGTGAAATTAGAATCAAGGCCCGCTTATAATTAAATTATAATAAATGCCCGCTTATAATTTAAATATAATCAAGGCCTGCTTATAATTAATCGGTGTGAGGTCTTTTTTCTCTCTCGAGATATTCACGCTGCAATTAGATAACGACATTAACCCAGAGTGGGGGTGGGTAGGGGCAGGGTGGGTTGGGTTAAAGAAAGCAGTGCATCACCCTGCGAAAGATGATAATGTCAAGTGACATTAGGTGCACGACGTTTATACCCCCTTGCAATAGAGCAATTGCCGCAAGCCAAACTCGTATCGCTTCAGTCATCAGAGCTGGAAACAGGCGATTTAAGTGACACCATTTAAACGGGGAGATTATCAGACGGAGACTATTGAGACACTGCGCTGGAGAACCCGGTTTAATCACAACTCGGTCTGTGTGACTCTATGGTCTCTGTGTGAGTCATTGGGTCTCTGTGTGAGTGTATGGTATATGTGAGTCTTTGGGTCGGTCTGAGTTTATGAGTCTCTGTGAGTCACTGGATCTCTGTGTGAGTCTATGGACTCTGTGAGTCTGGGTCACTGTGTGAGTCTATGGTATCTATGCGAGTCATTAGGTATCTGTGAGTATATGGTATATGTGAGTCTTTGGGTCTGTGTTAGTCTATGGTCTGTATGTGAGTCATTGGATCTCTATGTGAGTCATTGGGTATCTGTGTAGGTTATTGGGTCTTTGTGTGAGTCTTTGATTCTCTGTGCGTCTTTGGGTCTCTGTGTGAGTCATTGGCGAACCTGGCTGAGATCGACTCGCTACACTCGAGCACCTCCGATGAGCACGGTTGAATACGTGCGGTGCAAAAGAAGTCCAACATACATAGTGTGCATACAACCTGGCTCTTGCGGTGGGAATCTTACTGCGACCCAGGATTCTGAGTGGTGCTGGCTCATTGTCGCCGACGTGGCCACGAGGAGTGACGACCTCCGAGCAGTGGTTGCCCAACGAGCCGACAGGCGCATCTCACAAAGCGTGGGGCTCCAACAACAACAATAATAATGACCATAAAGTCAAAGATACATTTGGTATTCTGCAAGGCTATCTGCGAAGGAGGGATCCGTGTTTCACACAGGGGTACAGTCTGCCAGCATGGAGGAGATGTCACCAATATTGTTTTATCCAATTAAGTGATTTGTGGGTAATATTTGGCAAGGGTCCGTTATGCCTGTGACGCAGACGGCGCGCAGTGTTTGATGGTTAATATTCACCCGCAGTAATAACCACCCACCCAGCCGCTCACTCACTCACCCACTCATCTACTCACCCACCCATTCACCCACTCACCGGGCTACACACCTACTTGGCCACCCATCCACTCCCTCACCCACGCAGTGACCCACCCACTTAGCCAACTACTCATCCACCCAACCCATCCACCCACCCGCCTATTCACCCACTCACACACCCATCTCTTCACCCACTCACCCACCCACCGATTCACTCACTCATACACCCACCCACCCACTCATCCACCCACTCACGCACCCACCCACCCACCCACTCATCCACCCAACCGCTTGCCACTCTTCCTATTCGATTCACGTCACGGGCTCTGTAAGGTTCTCTGTGAAGCAGGCGGACCGAGGCACTCTGCAACAAGCGGCGACCGTCGTCATCATCATCATGGCAACAGCAGCAGGGCGAGGCTTGGCTTCAAACATCCAGCACTTTTATTTGAACATAGAAAACGAGAACAGTCTTGGTTTGTTTTATTGTCTACACAAGGCGCGACATGTGCACGATCACCGTTCCAACCCCTAAAAAAGATACCCGTCATCCCCCCCCCCCCAGTGCCCCCCGACCCCCCCCCCCCCCCCACCACAATACACGCCACCTAGCCCCCCTGTTACACGACGGGATTGAAGACAAGGGAGCCAAACAATGTTTGAGAATCGTACCGGGGATTTAATTTCAGCCACACCCGGCACAGCACATCCAGTATACCCCCTCTCGATATCCACATGGCTACTGCCAGTCACGTGTCACCTATCGAAGTCTACCAACGACCCGGAAAATGTCTTCCCGCCCGGAACACCACATCCAGTATACCACATCGCTATGGATGTGGCTGCTGATCACCTGCCGCCTACTCCAGCCTTCCGACGAGTCGGAAAATGTTTTCACACAGCACACCACATTCACCATACAATCTAGATATGGCTGTGACGACTGCAAGTCACCTGCCCACGTACTCCAGTCTCCCATCGAGCCGAGGACTCCGATACATAGAAGATGTGCACATGTCACAGGGGCCGTCGTTCTCAACACCGAGAGCCCCGTCATAGCAACGTGGAATTTCCAACCACTAAGAGTCTTGTTTTTGTTGTTGTAACTTGCCGACCCGCCCCTGCTGGACATCTGTGGGGGGGGGGGGGGGGAGAGCTCAATAGCTCATCGGATTCCTCCAGCCTCAATAGAAATTGTGATTGTGAGAAAGACGCCCGTGGAATGATGATGCCTGCATACAAGCGAGCTCCACTGATGCAGCGTCCAGCCAACAGTGGGGCCGAGGCGGTGGTCAGCTCCCCCCCCAACCCCACCCGCCTTGATAAGACCCCCCCCACCTCCCTCCCCCCCCCCCCCAAGTTATTGATATTTCCAGAGAATATTTTTCGATTGATTTTTGTTGTTTTATGAATGTAGGGGCCCTATTTAAATAGCTTAACATTTCTGGCTCTCACCTGCCCCCCCCCCCCACCCCCATCTTCATCCCCTTCCACCCTCCCAGCCCTGCTCCCTCCTCTTGGGAAGTTTCTATGACCGCCTCTGTGCCCCTCTGCACAGATAAACACAAAGGTCCCCCGTATAGACTTAACAGACTTTTCGAGCAACTGCCTCGTTTGCTGCAGACACACACACAATTCCCTTCGCGATCTCATGGCGCACACACACACACACCCGCATTCTAAAAACGCAGTACATTACCAAATATGCATGCACACACACACACCCAGCTCTCACAAAGGCCAGCTTGCCCTATGCTGTGATTTTCTGTTCCAATGTGGTGTTAACGCTGACCCGAGCAGGTGACAGTCGTGTTTAATTGAGTATTACACAGTAGGCATGCAGCGACGTCCTTCCTTCGCAGCGATTAGGTGAAGTTACAGTAATGCATTCAGATTCCAAGGCCACGATTTAAAAACGAAAATAAGATTTTTTTAAATCTTCTTAACTCGTTTTTTTGCCGTCTCTTTTGTGTTGTTCTCTCTCTCTCGGGGCCTTCATCCAGTAGTGGATAGATCAATTCCGATTATGATCATGACGATGATGGTACATTGACATGCGGAGAAATCATCATTACATGCCTATTATATATATACACATACAAACACGTACGCCAACACATGTGTGTCATGCAGCACCATGATCCGCTGCCGTTTCCTCGTCCGCGAAATCATCGCGGACGAGGAGACGTCACGTGGTGGTGGCAGTGGTCACGCTGCCTCCATCGCGTTCCCATCACCACTCGCACGCACGAAACGAACGAACGGGGTGTCCGAAAATAAATGTTGGGGGTTAGGTCGCGTGAATATGAATGCGTCGTTAAACCCCGCCATCACCCGACACAGCCAATTAATAAGGTTTGTCGCGTAAACAAAACGGGCCAATTAGTTACGAGTTCAAAACCTCTATTACGGATTATATTGGTCGCGAAAGCCTGCATGTTAAAATGAATATAACAAGAAGAAAGTTGAATAGTTTCATTGTTGTTCGAGATACTGACATGAATTTGATATGAATACGTGTATTAGACTTTTTGTTGTGAATATTGATTGGTTCTTTCTTTCTGTTTCAGGAGAATGCCCATTACCTGATATTACAAGTCCGCCCGTTCACTCCGACTTGACACCATGACATTTATTTCTGGATTTTTTTCAAATAAAGTCTACAACTAGAAAACCAAGGGACCTTGAAGAACTTAAACACCGCATTGTTGCTGCTGCTGCTGCTGTGTCATCATCCATCCCTACAGCTGTCAGTTTAACACGTAGACTTTCGCGACCAATATTATTAATAATCAACGTTTTTGGGTTTAGATCGCGTTATTTATAAATGTGTCGTAACCCTCCACCACCCGACACGGCCAATCAGAAAAAAAGTGTCACGTTGACAAAAGACAAATAGTTCACTGCTTTAGCCCACCGGTGTGTTGAAGCGTGAAACCACAACATTTACAATTTTTGAGTACGACATTTCGCTGGTAATTGCATCCAGCATCATCGGGCAATTCGCCAGAATGGTGAGGCTCTGCTCTGGCTCCCGGTCTTAAATAAAGCAGCGGCAGGGTGACGTCATCATTAACTGGTGGGCTAAAGCAGTGAACTATTTGTCTTTTGTCAACGTGACACTTTTTTGCTGATTGGCCGTGTCGGGTGGTGGAGGGTTACGACACATTTATATATAATGCGATCTACACCCAAAAACGTTGATTATGAACCCTACAGCTGTGTTGGGACTTTTATTCTCCGTGTTTGAACGCTAAATTAGATTGACGATAGGGAATGATGGACGGCATGTAGAAGTGTATGACAAATTCGAGAATATATAATCAATATCATACAACAAAAATACAACTTATAACTCTATTACATGCATTCATAATGAATGTATTTTAGTATCTCGATTAACAATAAACCTATTACACGTTTTTTTGGTCCTTTAATTTTCGGACACCCTGTACACAAGGACAGCCTGTACACACAGACAGCCTGTACACACAGACAGCCTGTACACACAGACAGCCTGTACACAAAGACAGCCTGTATACTATGGGTAGCCTGTAGTTTCACATTTTATTTGGTCGCCTCCGCTCGCCAGCGCCACAACATCTGGCGGCTCTCCAACACCCCCTAAACAAAAAAAAACCTCCGCGCATTCTATCAATAAACACAGTGCAGCCTGAAAAGAGAAAATATACAAGCGACGACGTTTAGGGCAATGGGTCTTCTTCAGAGCACATAAAACAAGATGGACCCATTTTTGTTATTTTAAGGACCAAGCCGTATTGAGTGTGTTCTGTAGTATTAATGCTGTTACTGCCAAAGCAGTAGCAGCATTAGCAGCAGCAGCAGCGCCATCACCAAATGATTTCGAACACCTTCACGCGTTTTAATCGAAGCGATCGCTCTAATTGGTGAGCGAGTCTGGAAGTCTGCGAGGTGCGCGCGGTGGAGGAGGCGGCGGTGGGGGGTGGTGAGCGACACAGATTCGGCAGCTCGCAAGAGGTCAAACCGCGGGGTCACGAACGCTGAGCGGCAAAATTCAGCCAAGTGCCTCGGCGTGGCATATAAAAAAATATTTTAAAAACCCGGAATTTGAAGGAGGCCTCGGGGTCTTAAGCACGACCCGCGTTTGACGGCTCTCAAAGAGCGCTTCCACGAGAAGCCGTGGATCTCGCTCGCCAAGTGGCTCCAGGCTAACCGAGCCGCCGCTGAGCTCACGCGGAAGACCGACGACCTCTTCCCTCCCCCTCGCCTCCCCTCCGGCTTGGCGCCGAGTGGCCGTGCTTGCGCGCACATTTCAGGAAGTGTCAAAGCGGCCGCGACCTTGCCGAGAGAGCTGACCACGGCACGAAAGTGAAGAAGCGGCGCGCGTAGCGAGAGTGCCGCTTACACGGAGCCCATCACGGTAGCCCGCCCCTCTCACGCAGCGTGCCCACTCGTGGTGTGGTGGGCACGCTGCGCTGTGGTGGGCACGCTGAGACGCGCTCTACGCGGCTGCCGTGGAATCTGCTCATTTGACTCCTAATATCGAATTAAAAGTGGTCCGGGTTTTTTTTTTTGGCTTTTTAATAATTCACATGTGTGTGAGAGAGAGACTTAATTAAAACACAAATGCACCTTACACGCCCGGCAAGCAATATCCTCTCTTCTGCGCTTTATTTCCCATAATTCATTATCATCATCACCACCACCACCGTATTCGGCTTCGTCGGCTGTCGACCTTCCATCGGCTCGTTCGCCCCGACGGGACCACGACATTTATTCCCGCCGCTGTTCCCTCTCTCCTCCCTCCCTCGAGCCGGCCGGTGTCACCGCTTCGCTCAGCCGCTGCCGCCTTTTCTCGGTCTTCCCACCGCCGCGTCAGGCACCCATCTCTGGGCGCCTCTCCATCCTCGCCGCTTCTCACGCGCGGACAACCCCTGTACCCCCCCCCCCTCTCGCCCCCGGGGGAGAGGGAGGGGGGGTACAGCTCGACCGGCTCGTTCGAGTCACCGTGTCCGAAACCCACTAAACCATCGTGCTGCTCTTCTTGACGGATCGATCTCCCACGCGTCGTCGTTATTGTTGTTGTGTGCATGTGGGGAGCGGTGGGGGAGCGGTGGTGCAGCGGTTAGCGCGCTGCGCTACGACCCAGGTTCGATTCCCGCTCACGGCCAACACCGGTGCCGATTATCGGAACCGGTCTTGGGCCTGCCCTAGGTCGACTCAGCCTCCTTTGAGTACCTGGTGCGATGTGTAAACATCACCACTGGGGATAACAAAGGCGGTCGGTCGCGGTACTGGCCACCGACCCCCTCGTGTGCCGTACCGGCCTACATAGGTGCTCGCTAACAGCACTTGCCCCTCCAGTCTGTCAAGGCTACACGGGGGATCTTTGTCTTTGTGTGTTTGCTTCTACTTGCGATACAACCCAGAGAAAGCCTGCGAGTTCTACTAACACACCTCCGATGAACACGGTTGGCTACGTACGATGCGAAAGAAGTTCAACACGCACGCGTACACACGCACGCGTACACACGCACGCGTACACACGCACGCGTACACACACGCGTACACACGCACGCGTACACACACACGCGCGTACACACACGCGCGTACACACACGCGCGTACACACACACGCGCGTACACACGCACGTACACACACACGCGTACACACACGCACGCGTACACACACGCACGCGTACACACGCACGTACACACACACGCGTACACACGCACGCGTACACACACGCACGCGTACACACACGCGCGTACACACACGCGCGCGCACACACACACGCGCGCACACCGGAGAGGGATCGATGTGCGCATGGCAAGCGCGCGAAGCCACAAGCGCCACCGCGACCCTTGACCCCGTGAACAATGACGGGGTCCCAGCGATGTCCAGCAGTGCCCCACTGACCCACGGCAAGGAACACAAATCACGCGTCCTGCGACACTTTGATTTGGAGAGAAACACACACAATGTGTCCACATCAATCCCGTCGTGTGCGTGTCACGCTATTACCCCCACACCCCTCGTCGCCCGCCCCCCTAACCCCCAGTCGCCCCCCCCCCCCCACCTCACCCGCACCAAGAGTTACAAAAAGCACCCCCACAACCCTCTTGGCGTACAACATTGGCCAGATTGTCTCACATTGCACAACTCAGCATTTACACACTCACACACGTGTGTACAGGTAAGCTCACACAGTGTGCACACTCACACACGCACGTGTATACAGGTAAGCTCACACAGTGTGCTCACACACACACGTGTGTACAGGTAAGCTCACACAGTGTGCACACACACACGTGTGTACAGGTAAGCTCACACATTGTACACACACACACACGTGTGTACAGGTAAGTCCACACAGTGTGCACACACACACGCGTGCAACCGCGCGCGCGCATGTGTACACACACATGCACACGCAGGCTCATAGAGACGCACACATGCTCATACATGCGCACGCACAAATCTAGAATATTCTAGGGAAAACTCTACTATTCATGTGTATACACCACGACATCACGTGTGTTCCAGTGTGTATTAGCAGAGCTGTAGTGTAGTGATTCGAGCGCTGCGACACGAGTTTGATTCCCGCTCACGGCCTACATCTTGTGACGATTATCTGAACCGGTTCTGGGACTCCCCTATGTCGACTCAAATGAGGACCTGGTGTGATGTGTTATCATAACCACTGGAGAGACAAAGGCGGCCGGGCGTGGAGGTGGCCATCCACCCCCTCGTGTGCGGTGCCGGCCTTCACAGGTGCTCGCGAACAACTCTCCCTCTCACCGCACGTCTGTTCGAGGCTATTCAGGGGATCTTTGTCTTTGCCTTTGTGTTAGTGGTGGCACACGAACTGAACAATGGGAAGGAGACATCGTCTGATAATAAATGTTGCTACTTTTCTTCTCCACAATGGTGATAATCACGATATTGTGTTCCGTAATAAACATAATTTAGTGTTGAACTATATAGGACCCATATCGAACAAAGAGAGGGGCCCTTGCCGGCAAACATCTGGCAACTCGCCCGAAATCGTTTTCAGCAGCAAGCCTGACCTTGCTGATGAAACACTGAACGTCAAACACCGTGTCCAGACTACTTCATCATCACCACCACCAACGCTGCTGCTGCGCAAATTCACTCCGAGGAAGCCGTGTGGCTGATGTGATGTGTCGAGAGACGGATACGTGCAGGAGGCAAACTTATGTGCTGCATCCTGTCACAACTCATGGCCAACGTTTCCATCTTATAATATATACTTTATATATAATATGTTTCTGTTACGTAAAATTGTTGTGAACTTAGTGGGGGAGCAGGGTGAACACGAAATAATTTATGTACAAACGAACGGGCGTGGAAAAATCCAGATGAGTCGCAACATCAACGCGTCCGTCACACACGCCCACGCGCGCGTGTGTGTGTGTAAACAGGTTTTGCGTGGGTTTCTTGTATTTTCATCCCTAATATATATCGTGTATACATATGTTTTCGTATAAAGACACGAGGATACGTGTTTGCGAGCGCATATCTAAGTAAACATTTGGTCACGCCAACCAGACCCCCCCCACCCCACATCAAACTAAAATATTGTCAAGGTCTCGCGGACGTCCATACAGCGCCGAGTCAGCCCACCGATCGCAAGGCGCGCCCCACGTTAAACTGCCCCCCCCCTGCCCCCCCCCCTGCCACCCCGTTGCGATTGGTCACAGCTCATGGCTTGGTAATTTCCTGCTCAGTGACACCGAGCACTCGAATACACAATCCCACCCCCGGCCCCAAACAATGAATATCGTGGCTCTTATTTCGTTATTGGCAATAATAATAATAATGATACAACCACTCAACGCGTCCGTCACGAATTGCACTGTCTGCCTGTAATCAAGTGCTGTGTGTGTGCAGGCAGCAGCCAGGGTTGGTGGATCACCCCGCAGATGGTTGCGAAACTCCCTTCCCGTGGGGCGTCAAGGGGTGTCATACCCCCTGGCTCGCCAGACGAAGGCGGCACAGAAAAGGGTGGACTAATCGCCATCTGTTCCCATCTGTACGGGGATGAACGCTTGGATGTTCTCCGGGTGCTCCGGTTTCCTCGCACTGCGTTCGTACCCGACGGCTGTCGGATGGCTCGAGCGTGGTTCCGAGACTCCTAATAACGGTCCCCACAATCATTGTACGGACGACGACAATGAGAACGAACTGGCTTGGGAAGAAACGCGCGCTTTGCATCTGTACGTTGATTGTATGCCTCGACCATCCCTTGGTTCTGTGCAAAGAAAAAATGATGGGGAACGAAAAATGCCAGACCTTACTCCCGCCACGGGCGACCTGCCGATCACATGGACCCAGCGTGGCGGCTGTACCCATTGCTGCTGCTGCTGGGTGAACGGGGATGGCGGCGAGTGCGATTTAAAGACACTCACGCCATCGTTTTCTACCGTGAGCTTGACGATTGGCCAGAGGGAGGGCCCATTTAATTCCTTGCACCAGAGTCCATGTCAATTACGTTACCCCACTGGGTTGAACCTGTGGGTGGTGGGGGGCTGTTGGGTGGGGGCTGTGGGGGGGGGGGATCTGGAGGGGGGGGGGGAGAACATCGCGAGGAGCAGACGGAGCCAGCAGCTGCAGCCGAAATGTGAGTGCGGCCTCGCGAGGCTGAGACGCGAATATAAATGTTCCCAGAGTCACATTTGCACGCACGGAACGATACCAATTAGCGTCGCTGCGATGCGCTGCCACCGCCACCAGCACAACCAGAGGCGCACCCAGGGGAGGGGGGGGGGCAATATTTAAATTTGGTCGCCCCCCCCCCCGCTCCCCCCTTACCTCCTCAAGAACGTCCATGGACGTTAAACGCACACTGCTGAATTCCATCTGGAACAGTCTCCAGTCTGTGATGATGTTGCGACGATCACTTTGGCCACGCCAAAATCCATCTCAGACCACTCGCAGGGAATGTGGAATTTCCACCGATGGCCCCGGCAGGGCTGTAAACAAGAGACGAGCACCCAGGGCCTCGATGGTAACTTGAGTCGGGAATCACTGCGCACTTTGATCGGTTCATACGATCACAGCAACGTAAGGTGCAATGATGTAGAGGATCATTGCAGAATGGTTGGTACCTTGTAGCTCTAACGGCAGTGCCTTAAGGCGACAATAGCTACCCCGAGCCAGCCGAGCAGCGTTCCTCGAAACATCGAGCGAGAAATGCTCCCACGTCGTCTGTCATGGCTTGAGGGAGTTTGCGTGGTGATCTTCTCGAATGCGTTGACGTGTCTCTGCCTTCTCCTGTCTCCTCCAGAGGAGCCGCCACGATCATAGGTGAGAAGTCATGGCCAAACATCCCCAAGGTTCACCAAACAACGCTGACCAGAGTACGGTCAATGCTATGATGAAAGTTCATTGCCCGAAACGTCGCCTATTGTATGTTTGTTTGTTTCATTTCCAGGCCACACACATCGGTATTGACGAACGTGTTGATTTTGTCGTTGTTTGTTCTTGTGCCAACGCAGCAGCAGCAGCAGGTAATTTGTTGAAGATAACACTCGTGTCGTTGACATCCGATGTGGAGGGCGGGGCGAAGGGGATGTGTGAGCTGACAGTAACAGCTGGGGAGAGAGAAGCTGTAGGCGTCACCTACAGATGCCACATCTGCATCACGCGCGCTCCACGGGAGAGTGGGAGGGACAACCAGGGACTTCATTTCAGCTTGGAGCTGCCCGGAGCTGAGCTCCTGAAAATACCGTGTGTGTGTGTGTGTTTGCGGTGTGTGCCTTCAACGACAGCCTGGGCAAGTCGAGCAAATCCCCCACCCCCAGCATACTGTCCCAGGGAAATACCGTGAAGATAGCTTTGCCGTCTTCATGAAGGTCTGTGCGCATGTGTGTGTGCGTATGCTTGTGAAACGTGAACCCCCTTTGATGGAACATCTGCGCCGGTTATAAACATTCAGGCTGGTATGCCTACGATCCATCCTGGGTTTAACCAGCAGGCTGGATTTTGTGAGGAGCTCACAAATCCTTGAAAGATCTAGACAAAGTCCCATCGGTGAGCTCCTTCGGCAGGCAAGGCTGCGTTGACTGGGCCATGTAGCCCGCATGCCCAGCCACCGCATGCCTAAGCAGCTTTTGTTTTGCCGCATAGAGGGGGCTAAACAAACGGGCACGACATGGTCTGGAGAAGAGATGGAGTGATGCGGTACTGGAGGAAGTGGAGCTGAGTCGACTTGCCGACGACTGGTACCAGCGGTGTCAAGATCGACCTCTGTAGATGAGGCTCGTGAAGGACGCTGCTGGGCAGTTGGAGGCAATCGCCCTTCAGCTACAACAGAGAGCAGAGGAGCGACGCTCACAACAACAAGCGGGGCGCCGGGTAGATAAAATAGAGGAAGTTGGCACAGTAGGGGGTACAGCTGGTGCATTTACCGCTCATCTCAGTCAGCCAACCCATGGCACCTGGCTTTGTCAGCAAGCTCTCACTCTTCACGTGGCCTCAAAGTGCACCTGGCCTGGCACAGGCGCCGTGGCGACGTCACCGTTACTTAGTGGCGAATGACGGGTATGTGTATCCGTGTGTAAATGCCATCAGTAAGCGATTATCTGAACCGGTCCTGGGTCTCCCCTAGGTCGACTCAGCCCTTCAATGACTGCGTGGGTGCGCCGTGTAAACATCGTTCTTGGGAGAGAACAAAGGCGGCGGGCCCGAGCGTGGTGATTCCGGCCACGACCGCACAACCGCACAACACAACCGCCTCCATTCGTCATGGCGGCCGTCATCAAGTACTCGAAGTGATGGGCGGCTGGGATTTGTCGCCTGTTTTTTGCATTGTCTAGCTAGTGGCACCCCCCCCCGCCCCCCGCAAGTTATTCCTATCGTCACGGGTATATAGAGTCCGTGGCTTTGGCTCAGCGTTGGCACAGCATTGTAACCCGATGTCGATTCTAACGCGCATGGCACATTTTGGCGGAGCGCTTATTTACACAGCTCGGTGAGTTCACACGAAGCAAAGGGGCGAATTAAACAAGAGCTCTTCATTGTGATCGTCGTCATCGTGATCTTCAACATCGTGATTTTCAACATCGTGATCGTCATCATCGTGATCGTCACCATCGTGATCGTCATCATCGTGATCGTCACCATCGTGATCGTCATCATCGTCGTCATCGTGATCGTCACCATCGTGATCGTCATCATCGTCGTCATCGTGATCGTCGTCATCGTGATCGTCACCATCGTGATCGTCACCATCGTGATCGTCATCATCGTGATCGTCACCATCGTGATCGTCATCATCGTCGTCATCGTGATCGTCACCATCGTGATCGTCGTCATCGTGATCGTCGTCTTCGTGATCGTCATCATCGTGATCGTCGTCTTCGTCATCGTCGTCATCGTCACCATCGTGATCGTCGTCATCGTGATCGTCACCATCGTGATCGTCGTCTTCGTGATGATCGTCGCGGTAGCTACAGCTACGGTACAAGCGTCACTGGCAAATCGAGTCGAGAGTTGTAAGACTGGCTTCAAAAAGGGTCGGGTAAATCCGCAAGAAAATTGAATAATTTACACAATGTATAAGAAATAGCAGGGGGTTTTCTACGTGTGGGTGCATGTGTGTTAATGTGTATGTTCACGTGTGCATATATTCACGCGTGTGTGCATATTCCTGTCTCTGTGTTCGTCCACGTGTGTTTGGGGGGGGGGGGGGTGTTTTCAACTGTGTGCGCGTGTGTGGTGTTCCAGCATGCTGGCATGTTCATCTATTCGGGTATGTATGTGTGTTCACGTGCGTTGCAGTGTGCGTCTTCACGGTTGTATTCACGTGTGTCTATGCATATGTGTGTGTGTACTAAGGATAATGTTTGCGTGTTAATGTATGCGTGTATGTGTGCATATCGTCTATATCGACACATGACCATGTCTGTATGTTCATGTGTGTTCCTGATTGCCCCTATTTGTTCGAGTGCTTGATTGTTTTTTACTGCGTGTGTCCATGCATGCGTGCCCATGTACGTGTGTCTGTGTTCACCTGAACTCCTGTGTTCGCGCGTGTGTGTGTGTACGCGTAGATCAATCTGTGCATATCTTCGTGTTTGCGCACTCATGTGTGGTGTGTGTGTGCATGGCCTGCCTACGATCCATCCTGGGTTTAACCAGGCTGGATTGTGTGAGGAGCTCACAAATCCTTGAAAGATCTGGACAATGTCCCATCGGTGAGCTCCTCCGGCAGGCAAGGCTGCGTTGGCTGGGCCATGTAGCCCGCATGCCAAGTCACCGCATGCCTAAACAGCTTTTGTTTGGCCGGATCGAGGGGGCTAAACGGGCGCGGCATGGGCTGGAGAAGAGATGGAGTGATATGGTACGAGAGGATATGGAGCTGAGTGGACTTTCCGATGACTGGTACCAGCGATGTCAAGATCGGTCTCAGTGGAGGAGGCTCGTGAAGGACGCTACTGGGTAGTTGGAGGCAGTCGCCCTCCAGCAACAACGGAGGGCGGAGGAGCGACGCTCACAACGACGATCAGAGCGCCGGGTGGCTAAAGCACAGCAAGTTGGCACAGTAGGGGGCACAGGTGGTGCATCAGCCACTCATCTCAGTCAGTCGACCCATGGCACCTGGGTCTGCCCCGTGACCTCCTGCCAGCGGGATTTCGACACTTCACGTGGCCTCAAGGTGCACATAGCCTGGCACAAGCATCGTGGTGACGTCACCGCCACTTAGTGGCGAATGGCAGTTGCTGTTGTTGTGTTTGCGAGCGCGTTCATATCTACGTTCGTGTGTTCCCACCGCGCCGGTCCGTGTGTGCGTCGATCGCGCGTGTGTCCACGCGTGTGTCATCTGTTCGCGCGAGTTACTCGTTGTGGCTTCGTGATGCATGTGCGCGGCCGGCTTTGATGTTGAAACGTGTGAACATCTCCCCACTGGCACACGAGCGCTGCTAATTGCCAGAGCTGGCAGGGAGTACAGGCGGAGGGCATTCTCATGGGATTGGGGTCAGTGTCCCCAGTTAGGGTCAATCGAAGGCTTTGATTGAGATCTCACTGAGTCCCGGAACATATCTATTATATATACAAAGAGATAGAGAGCGAGAGCGGGAGCTCTGATCTGGTATGTAAGTGACATCCTAAACACCGTGATTATCAACATCCGAGCCCGACGACAAGCGGGTGGTAATGCCTTCCCCAGCAAGAGGATTTTTGGCAGGATTTCAATGTCCGTCCGTGTTTGTCTGTGTGTGTCTGGGCTGTGTGTGTCTGGGCTGCGTGTGGCTGGGCTGTGTGTGTCTGGGCGGTGTGTGTCTGGGCGGTGTGTGTCTGGGCGGTGTGTGACTAGCGGTGTGTGGCTAGCGGTGTGTGGCTAGTGGTAGTGTAGTGGTTAGCGCGCTGCGTTGCGAGCCCAGAGATCCGAGTTCGATTCCCTCCTCACGGCCAACACCAGTTGAGGGTTATCTGAACCGGTTCCTGGACTCTCATAGCCTCGAATGAGTACCTGGTACTGTGTGTAAACATCTCCATTAGGGAGACAAAGACGGTCGGGCCTGGAGCTTACCACCCACCACCCTCCAGCACGTGCCAACCTTCATAGGTGCTCGCTAAGAGCACTTGCCCCAACATAGTCTGTGAAGGCTACACGGGATACGTTTGTCTTTGCGGGTGTGCGTATTAGCAGAAGCGTGCGCGTGGCACCCTACGCACCGCACGTGAGGCTCCAGATGTGTCCGTGCGTAAAAGGTGAGTGTGCGTGCGGATGCGTGTAGTTGTTCTGATGTTGTTGTTGTTCTGATGTTGTTGTGTTGTTGTTGTTGCTTAAGGAGAAGAGCAGGAGCCCTGGCTCTCAAAGCTGGCTGCACGCCCTGCCCACTGTGCCACGAGGGGAGGGGGCACAGCGAGTGGCAGAGGAGCGCAGAGCAGTGCCACATGCCACCACACGCACCAACACGCACACACGCACACGTGGACGAACATAGACGCGCACGCAATGGCACACGCGCACACGCAGATACGCAGGGGCATATTTACACGCACGCGTAAGCGCACACACGCACGAATAGATACACACGCACGCACACACACGTACATACACGCGAGCTTACACACACATAGATGCATATATGCACATGCACATATACGCGCGCACACACAGTCCAATAATACAATGAAAGTAAATGCCATGGGGTACCACAAGTAATGTATAGTGACCCGTCCATTAAGCATCCCGAAAAATGCATGCGATCGACACACACGTGCACGTGAATATGCACGTAGGGAGAGAGACACACACACACACATGCACACGTACACACACGTGCACACACGCACACGCGCGCAATGAAATTAAAAGAGCGGGGTGCAATGGGGATGAGAGCGGTGGGGGCCGGGGCATTGAACGGGACCCGGCGCGTCGTCAATCGGTTGGACAAATCGAGACGGAGAATGAGTGAGATGAAAGTACATAAATCATAGAGGAGGGAGGGGAGGGGAGGGAGGGGACACAGAGACACGTGTTAATACTCCACACAGGACGAGCACCACTTGTCCCTGGCTTAAGACGGCGAACAACAATTGCTTTTTGTCTCTCTTTATAAAAAAATAAATATACGCGAAATACACTTTGTATTAAAAACGGTTGCGTTGTTATCATTAAAACAGAGGGATAGAGGAAAGTCACACCGAAACCAAAACTGTCTGCTGCAGGGGAAAGGTTTATATAGACAGTAGTGTATTATCGGAATACACACCAATATTTGAGCCAAAGTCTTTCAAAATATCCCAGTGGCAGAACCGACTTGCGCACTGAAACATTAGAAGCACAGCGAGAGATATGATTGGCACCTGCACGCGAATCTACGTTGACATGCGAACAACCTCAAAGAATAGTCACTCACTGCTGCCCGCTCTTGTTCAATGTTTTTCGAACTTTTTTGTGTGTGTTTGGGGTCAGTCGTGTGGTTGATGTGCGCGCACGTGTGTGTGTGTGTCTTTGTGTCTGTGTGCATATGTCGATGAGAACCTGGTGCGGGGTGTAAACACCGCCACTGCACAGACAAAGGCGGCCGGGCGTGGTGCTGGCCATTAACCGCCTAGTGTGCCGTGCCAGCCTTCATGGGTGCTCGCTAACAGGACTTGCCCTAACAGTCTGTTAAGGCTACACGGGGGATCATTGTATTTGTCTATGTCTGCACGATAGTGCACTGGTTAGCGCGCTGCGTTACGAACCTGGAGACCCCAGTTTGATTCTCGCTCACGGCCAGCACCAGTGCCGATTATCGGAACAGGGCCTGGTCCTCCTCTAGGTCGACTCAGCCTCAAATGAGTCCCTGGTGCGGTGTGTAGTAAACATCGCCATTGTGGAGACAAAGGCGGTCGGGCGTGGTGCTGGCCACCCACCTCTCTCTAGTGATTGCCGGCCTTCATAGGTTCTCGCTGACAGATAATAACCCCAACAGTCTGTCAAGGTTATAGGGGGGATATCATCTGTCTTTGTAGGAGGTGCCATTAAACCATCAGGTCCACACCAGTCCCCCCTCCCAACCACACTGGCTGCAATGGAATGGTGTTAAACTACACGTCTGTATACAGCAACGAACGCCCTCTCTCGCAGAATTGATTCGTGAATCGTGAGCTCGATAATCGACGTGAAATCGATTAATTGGGCATCATTTCGCCTCCAGCGTGCATGTCTATTGGTACACGTGTACACGTACGTGCGTACACACGTACGTGCGTACACACGTGTGTGCATGTGCATACACGTGTGTACTCGAGTACACATGTCAGCGTGTACAAGTTTCGGCATGCGTGTGCACAAGTCATCGAATGAATGAGTGTGTTAGTTTGTTTCTGCGTCACGTGAGCGCCGACTGCGAAGTCAGATGTCACAGCGGCGAGCATCTAAACGGTGCCGGCTCTGCGTGCCGATCGCCTCGCGCCTGACCCTGCGTCCGACCCACCTTGGCACTGAGCCGCGCTCTGCGTGAGACGTCAGCTGATGCGTTTGAGATCATTATTATTGTTGCTGTGTTATAATTCGTTCGCAGTATTGACAAAGCTGATTTTTAAAAAAACAACCACCACCACTTTCCGATTCGTCCTATTTAGATTCGTCCCATTTAGACCCGCCGCGCCATTCGCGGGCACGGCGTGTCGCCTTGTTTGTGTTGCCATGCACTCCGATCGACCCATGGGCTGTTGGTCACGAAACAAACAAGCGGGGACAATGTCTCTGTCACGTCTCCGTCTCTCCACGAGAAATTCCTCGCGCATTCCATCAGCCGCGCGGCCTTTTGGGTGCGCGTAATTTCTGGAGTATTGGTTCAATAAAGCAACACCCCCGCGAACCAGCTTTGAACCACATCGTCTCATCATCAGCAGCAGCAATCAGGCTCGCTCGAATCAATGCTGGCGAACTGCCTGATCATGACTCCGAGTGTGTGCACGTACACGTGTGAATGTAAGTGTGCGTGTTTACACGTGCGCGTGTGTGTGTGTACGCGTGCATTGGAACACATGCGCGGGTGTGTGTGTGAACACGTGCGCGTGCATGCGTGCGCGTGTGTCCTGACCTCCTGCAGCAGGTGCCAGTGGGCGATGGGTTTGCGCGGGTAGGCCAGCATCTCGTTCCAATGGTCCCTGCCGAGTCCCTGGGAGTCGTTACCCACGCGACACACGCCGATCACCTCGTTGTGTCCCACGCTAATGGCACGCGTGGGAAGGGGGCGAAGTGTGTGGGGTGGGAGTGGGCGGGGGGGGGGGGGGGGCACGATCAGTCCACACGATGGGCCCACAAGACAATCCCCACCGCAACTGAACTTTAACCACGGGACTTCGACGATCAGGTTACGAACCGCTCCTACAACGCCGGCACCTGGACAGCGCTCGTGCCAGTGCGGGTGGTGAGCTGTGGTTGTGGCTGTGATCGGTCTAAAGTGAAAAGCACAACCTGCCAGGAGCCGACTGGCGCTGCAGGGAATTCAATATCTCACGTCGATTTACAATGCGTGCAATATGGCCCATTTCCCAAGCGACACAGTTAGGGTTGGTTTTTACTTAACATTCGTTTGATTGGACTTTAGTCAATTCGGTGACCCGGAGTGACGCTCGCAAACGAGACTAATCCTGGTCACTCGCGGTCTCAGCTGGTGACACAAACTCAACTTGAACGGTCTCTCATACTCAGCCGACTCGTGTCCCACCCTGGATCTCGTGTCCCACCCTGGATCTCGTGTCCCAACATCTTGGCTACAGCTCCTCGGTAGAGCCCAGCAGCTAATGATCCAGGGGTCGGCAACCACAATAACAAGAGCGGAAATTACGTTTCAAATTCGGTAAAACAAGACAACGACAAAAACACTGCGGTGGTGAATTACGAGACGGTGCTCCTCAATTAATGACGTCACGAAGCCAGTCCTCAAAGAGTCGCTCGCGGCTCCGGAGCCGCAGGTTGCCGACCCCCCCCCCCGAGCTAAACGAAGCCGCCCCCGCGTCCCATCGCTTCGGCGGCGGTGCGGACCCCGAGCTCACCGGTCGTAGTCGACCACGGCGATGAGGAGGCACACTTGGTCGACGCTCTCGGGCGGAACGTCGAACACGATGGCCTCGTTGTACACGGGGTTCAGGGTGCTCTTCTTGGTGGACGTCTTGCGCTTCTTCAGCCTCCGCCCGTCGCACATCAGCGACACCTTCACGTACGGGTCTGAGCGGCGGCAGCGGCGGTGGCGGAGGCCGTGAGAGAGCAACCAAGGTGGTGGTGGCGGTGGTAGCGGTGGTGGTGGCGGCGGTGGTTGTGATGGCCGTTGGGATGGTGGTGCTGGCACAGTGCTTCTGGTAGTATTGCACTGTGGTGGTGGTGGCGGTGGTGGCGGTGGTGGCGGTGGTGGTGGTCACGGTGGCTTAGCGGTTAGCGCGCTGCGCTGCACGAAACCGGCGACCCAAGTTCGATTTCTCGCTCACGGACGGCCACCAACATCTGTGACGAATATCGACCTAGTCTCCACTAGGTCGACTCAGCCCTAAATGTTTACCTGGTGCAGTGTGTAAATATCAGCACCGGGGAGACAATGGTGGCCGGGCGTAGTGCTGGCCACCCACCCCTCATGTTACACACCGGCCTTCATAGGTGTTCACGAACAGCTCTTGCCCCAACAGTCTGTTAAGGCTATACGGGGGATCTTTTTCCTTGGTATTGGTGATATCAGTGGTGGAGGTGGTGAATGCTTTTGGTAAGAGTAGTGATAGAGATAGGAGTGACTGTGGTGATGGAGGTGGTGATGGCAGTCATTTTAGTGGTGGTGTGGTGACAGTGGTGATAGTAATGGCAGATCTTGGGATAGTGCGTCCAGTGGTAATGGTGGTTATCACTGCATTGGTGATGGTTATCATGATGGTAGTGGTGCTGGTAGTTAGTGGTGCTGCTGGTGCCGATGTTGGTGGTGGTCGTGATGACAGCGCTGGTGACGATGGTGGCGATGGTGTTGACGTCGCTCTATCGTAGCTGTGGCCATCGCGTGACGTCGACGACGATAGCTGGGGCGGTATCGGCGGCGGTGACAAAGAGGTGCGTCGCGGCATTGTGCGTGATGACAATCATTCCGCTAGCGGCCGACCCCCGCGACCCTCCTCCCCGCGCTCTTTGGACAAGGACGCTGACCGATAAATATTAAATTGGCGACGTGAATTACCCCTCTTCCTGCAACGAGGGACATTTGACCGAGCCGCAAATGGTTTTCATTGTGAGCAGCAAGCCGCAGCGCGTGGAGGGAGTGGGGGAGCGAGCGATTGGGAGAGCAAGCGAGCGTGCGTGTGCGCAAGCGCACGTACCCCACCCCCCCCCACCCCCCCCCCCCCCCGAGAAGAATTGTTGATACACGTGGGTGACGGAGCCAGAGAGATAGAACGCCCCTTTGGGTAGGATGAGAGAAAATGAAGAAAGCCCTGTACGCTAATAGTCCGGCGTGTGTGTGCGTGGGTCTGCCCACAGCGACGTGGCGTGTGCAACGACGCGCGGCGGGAACGTGATGTGTCAATCGTAATGAGCCACGCGTGAGACGGACTGCACGCGCACATCGCCTCGCGTAGCGTGCGCTGCATCCACAAGTCGGGTAATTCATGAACACACCGCCCGTAGTACGAACGCTACACGCGTAGTACTAATGCAGCACGCATAGGCCGAGTAAATCACGTATAGCCCTTACAGACCACCCACAGCCCAAATACACAACCCATAGTAGATCTGTGATATCTTCTTCCACAGGCCATTCCCAATGGACCACTCTACGAGGCCCCCTAATGAACAGCTATCTGTCTTGTGACAGTGCATCCATAGCCGGGGATTATTATCAGCCGGGTCTCTCCGGGTCGGCAACTCAGAAGAGATTTCTGCACTCGGCACACCACATGCAAGTGTATCTCTCGCTATGGCTGCGGCTACCACTAGCAGCGTGCCGGCTACCGCTAGCCACGAGACGGCTACCGCGAGCCACGTGACGGCTACCGCCTGCCACGTGATGGCTACTCCGGGTCACCCCCACCCCCTCCCCCCAGCCACCCGGAAGACTGTCAGTGAGGGTTTAATTTCTGCCTGGAGCACACTTGTAATGGAATTTGAGGACATTTATTGTGTACTAGTTCATAAAGCCTTTCTTTGCTGGGCAAAAGTTTTCAATAAAAACAATAATGAACCTGATATGAGTTTTTACAATTTGTATCTACGATCAGACACTAACAACTACTCCAAACATTCGTATTTTTCCGCAAAAAAAACGAAAGGTCATCGACTTTATTTAACTTCTTATATTTAAAGACGTACTCCCATCTGAAACTGCTTCATTTAAAGATTACGCTCTTTCTTTTATTAGAAAAAACAAACAGGAATGTATGTAGTACTCTATAAGGGGAGTTCCTATCTTTAACCGTTTTCAAATGATTCAGATATGAACATCATCAAGTGCGTATTTTTTTCGTCAAAACCGCTTGAATCTGAAATATCTCAAAACAATAAAAGATAGAACCAATGGTTCTCGCTTTTATTGTATTTGCTGTTGAACACTATATTTAAAAAAACACAATGTTATATTTTGAAAGGTTTTTGAATGACACCAGGCACAAACATGTTTATGGGGCACTGAAAATCGAGATTTGGGGGCCTTCAAATTAAAAATCTCAGACATATGTACTAAATTTCAGCTTTCTTCCTTGTCGGGAAGTACCTTGAAGGTTTTTGAGACATACAGATGAAGGTCTTTTCGAGATTTTTTTTTTTAATGCAGACATATATATTTAGATTCCTTTTGGAACTCCGACAGCGAGCAGCGCACCACCACCTTGTGGCAAAAAGAGCATTCCCCCGGGGAACAGACGCTGCGCGGGAGCTCACCCGAGGCCCCCGTGATGTCCATGGCTTTGAGGTTGCGAGCCTTGATGACGGTGAGCGTGAGGCGCCCGGCGGTGGGGAGGTAGCAGAGCGAGAACATCAACTCCCCCAGGTCATCCTTCTCCTAGTACCACACACGAGCACACAGACACAAAGACCCCCCCCCCGCCGCGTAGCCTTCAATGGACTGTTGGCGCAAGTGCAGACAGCGAGCAGCAACAGCGAGCAGCAACAGCGAAGGCCGGAACAGCGCACGAGGTGGTTGGTGGCAAAGATCACGCCCGCACGGCCGGCCGTCCTTGTCTCCCCAGTGCTCATGAATACACACCGCACCAGGCACTAATTTGAAGGCCGAATTGACCTATGAGATGTCCAGGACCAGGTTCAGATGATCCGTTATTGAGGTCGGCTGTGAGCAGGAATCGAACTGAGGTCGCCGGCTCCCTCTACGCAGAGGGCACTACGGTGGCGAGATAGTGACTACCTCGCCTGATATTCAGGAGGTTGTGGGTTCAATCCCGACTCGGTATATTGGCAGTTTGCATGCTCTCCCTGTGGTTGCGTGGATTTTTATCCGGGTCCTCCGGTTTTCCCCTCCACATTTATAAACATTTGTTAAGAATATTTGGGGCTGTTATACATTTCTACATGATAAACCACCTCGTTGAGCTCTCATTTGTGGCCAGGTCGCTTCTGAAAAAATAGTTATATAGCTCAGTGGGCTTTACATCGTAAAATACAAAGTTTCGTTTAAAAAGTAAAAAAAGAATTAGTTTAGTTTAGACACACGAACAGACACACATATTAACGACACGTCACCCCCTCCCCACCATCAAGAAATGCCACTCAACCCCCTCTCCACCATCACCAAAACCACCACCACTCGTCCTCCGTTCAACTCCACCACAAACTCAGCGAGCGAGCATCCTCCAACACCACCTCCTCGGCCGCGTGCGCCGCCGCGGGCCTCCTACCGATGCGACGCACTCAATGTCTCTCCAGAGCGAGGTCTCTCGCGACAGGTCCGACTCCTCGAACAAGTTGTCCACCACCACTTGGCCGATGGTGTCATGGCGCGAGAAGCGGTCGAAGTCGTAGACGCTGAAGTGCAGGCGCCGCGCGGGCAGCTCCGCGTACGGCACGAAGAACTGGAAGGTCTCTTCGAACACGGGGTTGAGCGTCTTGCGGTGCACCTTGGTCTGGTACTTGCGCTTGCGGTCAGGCAGCAGGTAGATTTTCACGTAGGGGTCCGACGTGCCCGAGAAGTCCTTGGCGGGCAGCTCGGCGGCACGGCACACCCTCACGAGCAGCTGCTCCGTCTCGTAGTCGTACTGCAGCGCGAAGTTCAGCTTCCCCGCCAGCGTTCGCCCGTCGTCGGCGGCCGTCGTCCCGCGGCCGCCGTCGGCGTCGTCGCCCTCGACGGAGCGCTGCTTGTACAGCTCGGGCTTGATGCGCCCGATGTCCAGGGGGGACGGCCGCCGCGTCGCCGGGCTCGGCGGCGCGCCCACCACCTCCAGATGGGACAGGTTGAGCTGCCGTGGCAGCTGCCGCCGGAACGACGTGTGGCTGCGGGGAGACAGCGGGAGAGAGAGAGTGAGAAGGAGAGTGAACCTCACCTTGACACGCTTGGCCTCCGCGACATTGTCCTCTCTGTGACCTGGCACGGTGGCTCACTGGGAGGAGCACGTGGGCTCTGTGACCTGGTGTGGTGGCTCACCGGGAGGAGGACGTGGGCTCGGTGACCTGGTGTGGTGGCTCACCGGGAGGAGCACGTGGGTTCTGTGACCTGGTGTGGTGGCTCACCGGGAGGAGCACGTGGGCTCTGTGACCTGGTGTGGTGGCTCACCGGGAGGAGGACGTGGGCTCGGTGACCTGGTGTGGTGGTTCACCGGGAGGAAGACGTGGGCTCTGTGACCTGGTGTGGTGGCTCACCGGGAGGAGCACGTGGGTTCTGTGACCTGGTGTGGTGGTTCACCGGGAGGAGCACGTGGGCTCTGTGACCTGGTGTGGTGGCTCACCGGGAGGAGGACGTGGGCTCGGTGACCTGGTGTGGTGGCTCACCGGGAGGAAGACGTGGGCTCTGTGACCTGGTGTGGTGGCTCACCGGGAGGAGCACGTGGGCTCTGTGACCTTGTGTGGTGGCTCACCGGGAGGAGGACGTGGGCTCGGTGACCTGGTGTGGTGGCTCACCGGGAGGAGCACGTGGGCTCTGTGACCTTGTGTGGTGGCTCACCGGGAGGAGGACGTGGGTTCTGTGGCCTGGTGTGGTGGCTCACCAGGAGGAGGACGTGGGTTCTGTGGCCTGGTGTGGTGGCTCACCGGGAGGAGCACGTGGGCTCTGTGACCTTGTGTGGTGGCTCACCAGGAGGAGGACGTGGGTTCTGTGGCCTGGTGTGGTGGCTCACCGGGAGGAGGACGTGGGCTCGGTGACCTGGCGCTGGATGCGGGCGCTGTCAGAGCGACTGTCGGCGCCATGTCCGGCACGCTGCACGTCGGCGGGGATGTCGGGCGACGTGTGGCTAATCTTGATTGCCTGCTGCTCACCAATGCGCGTCACGGTTCCACCACCACCGCCACCACTCCCGCTGAGGATCTCCACCCGCTTGTTCCGCGCCGAGGGCTGCTCGCCTGCACCTTGGTGATGGTGGTGGTGGTAGTGGTGGTAGGTGGTGATTCGTAGTGATGGTGTCGGTAGGGGTGGATATGGTGGTGGTGGTGATGGTAGTGGTAGTGATGGTGGTGGTAGATAGTGAGTGGTAGTGATGGTGGTGGTGGCAGGGGTGAGTTGGTGGTGATGTTGGTAGTGTTGGTGTCGGTAGGGGTGTATAGTGGTGGTGGTAATGTTTGGTGGTTATGATTATGGTAGTGATGGTGGTGATAATGGTGTTGATGAGGTTGATGGCGTTGATGGTGATTGTTACAATTATTGATATGGTCATCATCATGTCCATCATCATGTCACATCATGCTCAATGGTGAGAGTTTGAGAAGGGCTTCATCCAGAAGTTGACAGATCATGGCTAATGATGAGTTATCACTAGCATTATCACTATCATCATGGCGATGATCTTTCACTGACATCATAATCATCGGTGCACAATGCATGGGCAATGCAGTTTCAGACAAACGCGTGGATCGTGAAGGGAGCTGAGGGCCGGTGGATTCATTGGCATCGTGTGGGACGGGACAAATGCGACTCGAGACTTCACTCCAGTGGTGTATTAACTACATCGTCGGCTCAGGGGATGCGACAATCGGTCAGATGGGGCCCCTGTATTCGATTTGACTTGCGCGGTCGCACCTCGGCTATCATTTATCGCGGCTCCCCTTGTCTAATCACGTCGTCGTTACGTTCACGGCCTCGAACATTTAACGCCGTAGGGGTGCTCCGTCTTCGCAAAATAAGTTTTTGGTTTTTTGTTTTAAACATATCTCGTGGTAGCTGTCAAGGGGGCCCCAACTCGTAGCTTTGGCCTACTGGGGGGGGGGGCAATGCACCCCCTGCCTGCCCCCACGCTCGCTACGCTGCAGCTACACGCGAACTCAACTCGACGCGTCGTCGTGCGCAAGAGCGCCCTGTCCCACACGGTCGCGTCCTGTTCCAGCCACCTGCCTCCGCTTATCCGGCGATCTCTCTCTCTCTCTCAATCCACACCGATCGTCCCAGTGGCATCAGTCACAGTCCAGTGCTGCACTCCGTTTATTAAAAACAAAACATGTATAGGCGCAGCCCCGCAATTGTTCCCTCGCGTCACTGTTGGTGGAAGAGGAGGTCTCTCTCTATTCATACGAGGGAGTGCCAGAGGGTTGATGGGTGGTCCTGGCTCCAGAGTGGTGAGAGTGAGCGTTGTGGTGAGCGGTAGTGTAGCGCTTAACGCTCTGCACTACCAACCTGGTTAGCCGAGGTCAATTCCTGCTCACCGTCAACACAAGTGACGATTATCTGAACCTGTTCTGGGCCTCCCCTTGGTCGATTCAGCCTCAATTGATGACCTGGTGCGATGTGGCAAACAAAGCCACAGGGGAGACAAAGGCGGCTGGGCGTGGCGGTGCCCACCCACTTCGTCGTGTGCCGTGCCAGCCTTTGTGGGCGCTGCGACTCGCTAACAGCTCTTGCCCCAAGAGTTGGTTAAGGCTACAGGAGGGGAAGGGTGGGGGACCTTTGTCTTTGTAATGCCGAGTGGGTGATGAGGGGTGAGTACCGATGGACGTGGAGGTGGCTGGCGAGGGCACGGACGAGGCCGCGTGCTGGAGCCGAGGAGTTGATGCCACCGCTCCCACCGCATCCTTGCCAGCCCCATCTACCCCCACCACCACCACCACCACCACCACGGCCACCATCACCACCACCCCCACCACCACCACCACCACGGCCACCATCACCACCACCCCCACCACCACCACCACCACGGCCACCATCACCACCACCCCCACCACCACCACCACCACGGCCACCATCACCACCACCACCACGGCCACCATCACCACCACCCCCACCACCACCACCACCACGGCCACCATCGTGTGACAACTCCCACAGCCAAGCCCCACAGTCAACCCCCACAGTCAACCCCCATAGTCAACACGCTCGCATCTACACTCTCACGGGAAACTTAACAACGCTGGGTGGCCTCACAAGTTAAACTGTTGAATAAATATAGCACACAGAGAGAGAGAGAGTGCAACTCTTATCATCCACTCGATCTATCTGGAGTCTCTCCTGAACTCCTGGACATCTGTGAAAAAGAGCTTCATAGCTTATCAAATTCTTCTCGGATAAATATTCTGAACTGCTATGTAAAAGGGCCATTGCCCGAAACGTCCATCATTAAAATGCGTGTGTATATATTCATTTTAAGTCTACAGTATTGTTATTGACTCATGCGTTGACAGTGCTTGTGCAACACTGCCAACGCAGCAGCAGCAGCATCGCCGTCACCAGATCACTCGATTTATTCCCACCACGTGCTTTCTCGAGGGTTGCGCTGCGGCTCGCCACGATGTCCTCGGGGTCGTGGCGGTGTGCCGACGTTTCGCCGCACGTGCCGAGGAAGAAGCCGCCCCGGCGCGTGACGCCAACTGAGCCGACGTGGACGCGAGAGAGACATTACGAACGCACCTCTGCCGGGGTTGTTGTCCCTGCACGAGGGCGCGTCCCTGGCCCGGCCGTTCTCTCGGCTCGCCGCGTTCTCTCGCTGCTTGGCGTGCGCCGCCGCCGGGGACGACGCCGCCGCCTTGAGCTTGTGCCGCCAGGGCAGCCAGCAGAGCTTCCACGAGACGAAGAGCGACACGAGCAGCAGAGCGATGGCGCAGAAGCTGACGATCACAACCAGGAGGCTCACCGACACGTCTACATCCACTGCTCGGTGGGGACGGGGGGCGGGGCACGTGGGGAGGGGCGGGAGTTGAACGGGAGAGAGGCAGGAGAGGGGAGCTTTGTTAACAACGCTATAACTTACAAGACGCCAGGCAATCTTTCGGCAATGTTCCTTCTTCACAGCAAATGTGTTGGTGCTGCTGCTGCTGTGTGAGCAGTGGCGCACAATTACAATTGATGAAAAAAAATGCGATGCGTTCCGTGTCAATAACACCACGTTCTGAAAGGAGAGAGAAAAATACTATGAGTAGAATAAGTGACGTTTCGGGCAATAGCACTTTTTCATAGCAAATAGATTTCAGATGTTATATGAACCAGTGGCAGATCGTGAGGAGTGGATGTGGGCAATTGACCCCTCCCTCTCCAAAATAATCTCATTTATATTTATAGAGACCTCGAGAATTCGTGTTTACCAAAGCGAATGGGAAGTGGCTGCAGAGGAGAGAGCTACCCCCGGGCTGCTGAGAGGCTTGGCGACGTCATAGGGCAGCCTTCATCCATCGGTGGATTAAATAAACAACACACCTCCTCCACACACCTAGAACTACACATGATTAAAATAATAATTATAATGACACGTCCCATCGTTTCAGCGGCATTGGTTCAACACATCCTGGCCGTCTTCTTGTTTCTTTCGGTAAAGTCACGTAGAAGGGAAGTAATAAAATAATAAAAATAAAACATAATAAAACAATTCTCACGACGTTTCGGCTACAACGCAAGCAGCCGTCTTCAGGTGAAGAATGAGACACTACCAAACTAGGAGCTTATATATAAGCTGCATTGGGGGTTGAAGAGCGCCTTAACAAAAAGAATGTGCATGTGAAGAGGGATTTAGCATATTCATGGAAAATGCGTAGGCGTTGGGCGGGGGGGTGTCAAAGTCATATTATGCCCATGCATTATGCAGGATCAGCAGCAACCAAGGGGGGTGCAGGGATTAGCAGTAACAAAGGAAAGGAATGTTAATGATATGTAGCTGCAGTTACTCAACAACCACGTAGAAAACTAAAGTATAAACTACATAAAAAACTAAAGTATAAACTGCATCGCACCATCAGTATACTTACTATACTCTATAATAAGCTGAGTTACTAACAGCAAGTAATACATTACAATTTTACCTCGTAAAAATTCTATAATATGCTTCCATCTAAACCTTATTCTCTTACATCACACGAGCATATACCGTACTATATACTGCCATAGATAAACCCAACATTAAATTATATACTGTATTGCTGTAAACCAACCTATATCTTATACATTTAATATCACACTATGTATTATTCTACACACCCTAATGTGTATCGAAATGGTTTATTACGTCCTTCCAATGATTGCTGAGCCAGAATCCATCTTCTCGGTTAAAGTTGTCTCTGTGTTTGTATATGTGGATCGCCTCATGAACGAATCTCTCATGATAGCCAGATGGCTTGCAGAGAACCTCTGTCTTGGAGAAGTCAATATCATGTGAGCCCACTGAGTTGTAACAGTGATCTGCCACGGCTGAGGTGTTAGTCCTACCGTGTTTCAGGTCAGCTTTATGTTCACGGATGCGGTCCGAGACATGTCGTTTGGTTTCCCCAATGTAACTGCTACCACAGAGGCAACTTAGTTTGTAGACGCCAGGGTACTGTATGTCTGGAACCACATCTTTTACAGACGGTACCAGATCACGGATTTTATGCACTGTGTTGAATCGGACCTGGATCTTGTGTTTAATCAGGATTTTGGAGATCTCCAAAATCCTGATTAAACACAAGATCCAGGTCCGATTCAACACAGTGCATAAAATCCGTGATCTGGTACCGTCTGTAAAAGATGTGGTTCCAGACATACAGTACCCTGGCGTCTACAAACTAAGTTGCCTCTGTGGTAGCAGTTACATTGGGGAAACCAAACGACATGTCTCGGACCGCATCCGTGAACATAAAGCTGACCTGAAACACGGTAGGACTAACACCTCAGCCGTGGCAGATCACTGTTACAACTCAGTGGGCTCACATGATATTGACTTCTCCAAGACAGAGGTTCTCTGCAAGCCATCTGGCTATCATGAGAGATTCGTTCATGAGGCGATCCACATATACAAACACAGAGACAACTTTAACCGAGAAGATGGATTCTGGCTCAGCAATCATTGGAAGGACGTAATAAACCATTTCGATACACATTAGGGTGTGTAGAATAATACATAGTGTGATATTAAATGTATAAGATATAGGTTGGTTTACAGCAATACAGTATATAATTTAATGTTGGGTTTATCTATGGCAGTATATAGTACGGTATATGCTCGTGTGATGTAAGAGAATAAGGTTTAGATGGAAGCATATTATAGAATTTTTACGAGGTAAAATTGTAATGTATTACTTGCTGTTAGTAACTCAGCTTATTATAGAGTATAGTAAGTATACTGATGGTGCGATGCAGTTTATACTTTAGTTTTTTATGTAGTTTATACTTTAGTTTTCTACGTGGTTGTTGAGTAACTGCAGCTACATATCATTAACATTCCTTTCCTTTGTTACTGCTAATCCTTGCACCCCCCTTGGTTGCTGCTGATCCTGCATAATGCATGGGCATAATATGACTTTGACACCCCCCCGCCCAACGCCTACGCATTTACCATGAATATGCTAAATCCCTCTTCACATGCACATTCTTTTTGTTAAGGCGCTCTTCAACCCCCAATGCAGCTTATATATAAGCTCCTAGTTTGGTAGTGTCTCATTCTTCACCTGAAGACGGCTGCTTGCGTTGTAGCCGAAACGTCGTGAGAATTGTTTTATTATGTTTTATTTTTATTATTTTATTACTTCCCTTCTACGTGACTTTACCGAAAGAAACAAGAAGATGAATCCCTGCAGTCACGAAAGCTTTAAATCGAAAAATACATCCTGGCCGGTTTCGACATTCAGTTTCCCATCAGCAGAGTCGGGTTGGCCCAAACCAAATGCTGGTGACCGGCTGGCTTGCTGTTCTTGTAGGCAAGGATCCTCTATCTCTGCAGCAGTGGATAGAGCGAGGCCGCCGATGTCGACGATGACGGTGGTACACGCTGGTGGATGAGCAAACCAGAACATGGTCAGAGCAAATTAGACGCAGGATACAATGCGTGCTGTATGCGTGATGATATGAAGAGGATGGTAAAGAATGAGACGAGGAGAATGGAACTTTGAATCAAATTACTCCCCTGCTGTATTGCGACAAATTAATTCCAGTGGGGGAGGAGGGGAGGGGGTGGAGGGGCTGGGAGAGGGGGAGGAGGGGAGGTGGGGAAGGGGGAGAGGGGGAGGAGGGGAGGGGGTGGAGGGGGTGGGAGAGGGGGAGGAGGGTGGGTGGGGAAGGGGGGAGAGGATGAATCATCCCAGTATATTTTTTCACTCTGAATTTTGTTAAGAATTCCACTTCCTCGTTTGACCAGGACAGCCTCCAACACCGAGTCTCGTGACTCCTTTTCAGGAGGATCCTGCCTAGTTTTCACAGGAGGGATGGTGGGATGGGGGGCATGGGGGTGGCGACGATCACGATGTAGATTCCAAAGTCATAATTTGTGCGGTGTAATCTTTAAAAAAATTGGCAAATGTTGACCGTGACGCCAGCGCAGTGGCCTTCACAGTGGCCTACACGATGACATACACAGTGGTCTACACAATGGCCTACACAGTGGCCTACGCAGTGGTCTACACATTAGCCTACGCAGTGGTCTACACAGTGGCCTACGCAGTGGCCTATGCAGAGACCTACACAGTGACCTACACGGTGGCCCTCACTTGCAAATGACATCGTGGGAAGTTTAGAAGTCCACTTCAAGTGAAGCATTCTTTTTTAATTAACTGTCATTAATTAACGCGGCCAAAGATTTAGTTCAGATGTGGAGAGTATTACAACAGTGATGATTATCATCATCATTGTTATTGTTGTATTATTGATGCCACAGTGGTTGTAGTGGTTGGCGCACTGGACTTGCCATCCAGAGCTCGACTCAATTTCCCGGCGCGGCAGCTGAATGCTATGGTTGCAGGTGTTGTTAAATTACCACTCAGCCTCTTCATCCATGTCTACACCACCGTCATTCGATGGGGCAGTTCGCCACGCGGTGGGGTAAAGTGTGGGTCTATTCCCACGTCGGGCCAGCGTAGAAGAGTAGGCCAAGATCCCCTCCACAGGGGGCTGTCTAGAGCTCCCTCGAGTGGAGGCCTCCTCTGACAGCAGTGGCGTGAGCGAGAAACTGCAGGGCTGCACCTGTGCCTCCGTTACCACCAATTACACGATGTAACACAATTTTTGTTCCTGGGTAGTGTTATTTCCTAATTGCTTACGCCTAAAAAGTACAGAAAATGGCTATTATTATTCCCCACAAACTTTGCTTTTGTGACCAGGATAGTGATATTTTGACATTTGCCTATATTCAATGAGAAAACGGGCGAATTTGTATCTTTTCGTTCACATAAAGTCAGAAAAAACAACATATGAATCAAAATTAACATGTATTAATACTACAGTAATACAAAAATTACTACAAAAGATTTAGAAGTTAGTAGTTTTTCGAGATTTACGATTATACCGTAAATCACTTTAACGAATCAGCCCCCAAATGTAGTCTCCCAACATGTTCCCGTTATAGTGTCCTTGGTAGCGGCGTTAAAAGTCCAGTATATCCTGGTGGAAGGGCTCGCCTTGCTCCTTCGAGTACGCTCCCATGTTCTCCTTGAATTTATCAAGATGAGCATCAAGTATATGGACTTTGAGGGACATCCTACAGTCCATTGTGCCGTAGTTTTTCACCAGAGTCTCAAACAGCTCCACGTAGTTTTCTACCTTGTGATTGCCCAGGAAGCCACGAACCACTGCGACAAAGCTGTTCCAAGCAGCTTTCTCCTTACTGGCCGACAGGCATGCCGACATATGCCTTGTAGGCCTCCCACATCTTAGCAGATGCTTCCACAGACTACTTTTGACTCTTGTCTTGATAA